AACAAATCAACATTGGTCGTAAATTTTGAGTGATACAGTGCCTGGAACACTTAAAATATGTCAAAAAGTGAAAAGTCGTAATAAATCCAGGCGTGCTCTAAGAAATAAAAAAAATATCACTGCTACACGTGTGCTCATGCGTTAGGTACTGTTAGTCTCGTAAAAAGTTAAACTTGTTTTCTTGTCTATCACAACACTAACATCCGTAGAAAGTGTTGCAATCTTGTGTGAATGTTAAATATACCCAACACGTGGTGTTACAATGGTGCGAATGTGTTATGGATCGCACAGCTTTTCTTAAACTTTCGCGCTATGGAAAGTCATTCGAGTTACACTGTTAATTATGTGGATAAGAGAATCGAAACATTTTTGTTGTTGTGTTGTGAAATCGAAATTGTCTGAACTGAATTGTTCAGTTCAATGAAGCTAGCCTCAGTGATCGAGTGGTGTTAGGTCTTAAGATATGAATGCTAATAATTTATTAATAGGACGGCAAACGAGCTAAACTATTACCTGATTTTTTTTTTAAGGGGGGAAAATCATCGAATGACTTCTCCCACCTGGGTGAGGCGAGGGGGAGTGTCAGCCTCTTACTGACTAAAAACCACCTCGTTCCTACTCCTGCACTTCGAGCTGGAGCCCCGGTAACCAGTTAAGATCTACGCGACACAATCACCTGATGGTTAGCACCGCCTATAGACACTCGCTACACCAGAGAAATTACAAGTACTTCGCTTTGAGAATAGGCTCACCCCTGCATATTATTTTCATATTTATATTTGTTACTGTACACCTGTACACCTCTTGCCTTCCTCTTTAGGTATAATAATCAATGGAACGGTTTATTGAGATATACAACAGTTTTACATTTAATTTTAGGTTTAATAAAAATTTACCTGTATTTCAAATACAGTACAATATACACACATTGTAATATACAATTATGTCAAAATGAATAAAAATACTTTATTAGAGGTCGTCACAAAGTTTTTCTATTAGCTTAAGTACCAAGCGGGGGAGCGACAAATTAAAATTTTCCCGATTCTATTAGTTTCAGGGTATCTTTTTCTTCCTGAGCAATTTTTGCTTTCAAAATTGCATTTTGCTTATCACGAATTGCCTTCCGTTTAGCTTCTTCTACGCGCCATTTTGCTTCTTTAGCCGAGTATTTTCTTTGTTTCCTCATCCCGTACATAATTCCAAGAAAAAGTAAGGCATACCGAGCAGCCCTTATCAGTGGAGACACAGGGTATGGAGGACCATACGGTAATTTCTCCATTAAACTTTTTGATTATAATATAATAAAATTATTTTTCTTTACATTCAAAACACTATTCATAAATTCTTCCTTGACAATTAATGTGACATCCGTCATTATTTTTCTTTTTTAATTTTGCAAGAGCAAAAAGGTTATTCACCTGATTTTTTAATGTTTAACTCGTCGAGTACCGGTTTTATAGACACAATTAAAGAACAATAGGTCGCGGTCACCGGTGACCGCTTGGTGTTTGACAGATTAACTAACAATGAATCGCTGCATTGTTCGAAACATCCCTGTCCAATACTAGGTCAAGTGCAAATTCCAACGAAATTATTATTTGTTTTTTCATGGGAATAACATTTGTATCAGTTGGAGGCCAGTGGCCGAATGGGTTGCTAAGAATACCGCTTGTCTCTGGTGTGGCGACCACCAATTATAGCGGACTGGCGTGACGCCAGCGGTCGGCAGCATCGCGTGGTCAACAGGAACAAACGTTTATCGATTGAGATCAATCACTACACAGACTGTCTTCCTGTGTAATGATATAGTTTACAAACTGCCGTTAAGGCGTATTTTTAACCGTTTTTATAAGTAGTATCTTGAGACTACATACATCCTACACGGTAAAGACGTAAACGCTACTTAAAAATTTTAGATTCAATGAGGCTGTACAAAATATTCCCAACGATTATATAGTCTCTATAGTTTTTTAACAATTAAATAGGAAGTATCTAACATCGCCGCTAATTGCATTGTAGTACGCTTAGTAACGACTCAGAATAAACGCTTACAATGGCTCTATTGTTTTAGAACGATCTATGTTGATAGTAATGCCTTTCGAAACTGTAAAAATAATGTTAAATCTTGGAAATAGCACCGAAAAGAAAAACCATACCAATCTACTTCCTTCTTATTTTTTAGCTGCCTTTGCATTTTTAATACACTTGGACTGTATATGTAAGTTTCTAGCGTTTGTAGCTCCCCTACTAACAGTAAGGGTGATTGTGACGAGGATAAACAAGGTCCATATTTTAATTGTAATTGATAAAGATTCGTCATAAGTAAACGTGTGGTAATAAAGGCTAAAGACCATTGATTTAAGTTTAAGAATATATTCAGTCAATAATGCACGACTATTTCTATTCAAAACGAATAAGTATGGTCTTCTTTGCTCGCTACTAAATTAAATTAATTTACCATCTAATTATATAATCAATCAATATCAACGTGGTTATCGCCAATAAATTAATTTATTGGTCTTAGAATAAAAGACCTCGAAACAATCTTTGATGATATTTTAACAACGTGATGTTGAATGTTTTAGCAATGCGCCCACGCATGGTTTAATAACAAAACACAATTCCTTTCTATTTTTAAGCGTGACTTTTAAGACCTTAACCCTAAAATAAATATCTCTAAGCATATCTATTTATGTACCTATCAGTAAGTAGGTACCTACATTCTAAAGTTATTGCAAGATCTTCAAATGACAGTTTCGTGACTCTAATACAAAATATAAAGTCAATGTTTGGCTTTGAAAACTTATTTTGGTCTATTGATAAACTAGTTGAGAGCATGAGTGAATCATTTAAATCTGATTTAAACAAGCATGACCACAATCATGTGATGAAGGTATTTTTTATTTGACAATAAATATGAACTATCCTAAATAGTATAACTTTATCAAACTATTATGTTTTAATTTACATTTATTAAACTTCTAAGTACCTACCTACTGCGTATATTAGGTTAAATACGTGAATTATTAATACAAGATGTACCGGTTTTTAATAACAAAAAAACAAGTGTGTCCTGATTGTAATTGTTGTTCTTGTTTATTTGGTTCACCGTCTAATTGCGTCGTAAAAAATAAAGTTCGTATATATTGTGGTATGGGTGGACCCTTTAATATCTCAGATAAGATACTTATTAAAACTGAATATTAGTGCTATCAGCTGTCTATCAATGACGAATCCCTACTTATTTATTTTCGATGCTACATACCGCTGTAATTCTTTTTTTATTAATTTTAATTAACTATCAAAGGTAATCTTAAGATGCTAGAAAGAATCAACACTTCTTGATACAGATAGTAGACAGAACTAATTTGCACCGATCGATGATGCCAGAGCAGGCGCCACTGGATTGTTTGCATAAACTGACCTTGATATTATCAGTGTCCAATTTAGTGTGTTGCATAACCAAAATAATACAAAACCTCGCAACCGGTTCACCATGTACATAATAATGCAGTTGCCACAAAGTAGAACTATAATTACAAAGGTCGCGAGTTCAATAACTAGTGGGATAGGCTTGGAGTGACGAGTACCTACATACATTGTGTGACGTAATCATTCCATTATAGTTGAGAATATATTTAGCGCAGTCGTCATAAAACAATTTTGTCGCGTTAGTTGTGTGTAATTGAAAATATCTGATAAGGTTTTGGTACGATCAACATTTGTATTTAATAGTAAAAATGGGTCTTGAATGAGGTGTAGGTGAGTAGGTTCGCAAATGTGCGATTGTGTGATGCACCGCTTTATAACTAGCACGAACTACTCCTGGATGTATGATAAACGATTTCCAGTGCAATGGGGACATGTTAAGTGTCATTGAATATGATTGCTTAGGTAGGTATGGGTAAAAACGCTACAGTTAATTTGGCAACTACTGACCACCTACTATTTATTAATGCACACATTTATATTTAAAATTTCAGAGTACATACATATTACATTACATTACTTAAATGCCTATAAACCAATTTGCTATTCAAAAGATACGTAAGATGACAGGACTTAATTAATAGCTGTGCATTCATAAAAAGATATTTAAAACGCAAGGTAAAACTATCTTCAGCCTACGAATATTAGTAGAACAATCATTTTAAGATATAACAAAATACAACTTCAAGTCAAACATTCATTTTTTTCTTGCACATACTACGATTTCATTAATCAATATTGTATTAAATTAACCCCAGTATGAAACCACATGCGATGGTCAAATAACGAGGGTGGCATTTAAGTATCTATGTTTATGTTAAAAAATATGAAAAGGCATCGCTTTCTAAAATGATTTTTACTTAACCATTCACTTAGGTTCTTTATATCGCTGCTGTAGCTTTAAATAATCTAATTACAGTGAGGTTTTTATACTGACTTTACTTTTTGTTATTCTGTGTTTAGCGGTCTGATAAGAAACCGGTATCGAATCGAAAAGTTTTATTTTCTCCTTCCATCACTCCCTTCCCTATGACTACACTTGACTATTTTCTATCTCTTTTAGACCTCAACAACGAGTGCTTACTAATTGCATATATCCATCTCGTTCTAACTTAAACTTCTTTAGTGTAAAATTGTCATTGGAAGAGGGCGCTTGTGACGTTAGCTGTTTGTAACATTGTTACTGAAAAGTTTTAATTTGTCTTTAAAATGTAAGAAAACGCTATAATTTATTATATCAACAGTGTCATTTTAAGAAATTGAACTTTTATTTAAATATCTACCTGTGTACAGTGATATGTCGTCATTCAATTAATTTGTGGGTGTGGTGAACGCCGAAAGTGTCTTGTCAAATATTGATGTTTTATCTTTAATTTCACTATTTGATTAGGTTTTTTACGTAACTTAATTGATAGTAATGGTCAGGGTTACTGTACAGTGCAGTATTTGTTTCAAAAGTAACCTAATTTGGTGTGAAACATTGTTTAGTAAAAGAAGTGTTTCGGTGTTTTAGAAATCGTCATCGACGAAAACTACGACGATGACGACGCCTGCGACTCTGTACGGACGAGACCTGTCCACCTACGACGAGGTGGACGTCGACGAGCTGCTAGCCAAGCTGTCGCAGGAAGAACTCACCATGCTGGCCAAGGAGGTTGATCCAGATGTAAGTACTCTTTGCAATTCACTCCGATAAACCCATACAAATTCGTGAAACCCTTTCAGTTTCCCTCATACAGTGTTATGCAGTCCATAACATTCAGAAAATATCTCATGAAACAGGCAAAACCATGATTCATTGACAAACAAAGATGGTAACACAAAGTTAAAATCTAATCAGAAAAGTCATTAACCTCAAGCAACAAAATCAACATAGACTAGACTTGTCATAACAAGGCCTAGATTCTCCCCTGTGTAAATTTCCTCATATTCAGCACTACATTAATGAAACTGAAGTGTGTAGGTATGTTTATCATGTTATATTTCCTACCCACATTCTCACAGCTCACATCATCAAGCCAACCAATTGATTATGAAGGCCATATGATATGAGATGTTGGATAATGCTGCTAACATTCACACAATTACACGGTTCATTGTTAAACCATAGACTTCTCACAGATCACCTTGGAGGTTTTATCAAAAGTGTTTGCCTTGAAAATTAGATTATGGCTACAAGCAATGGAATGTTTTATAATCTATTGTATATTAGTACTTAACATTGTTGATATTTAGTTTATACTCCTTACTTTCACTAACACATTTATTGACGAATTAAATTCAAGAACACACATTAAAAAGTAATAATGTTTACCATACACATCACATAATGTACCACATAATGGTTGAATTAACCCACATAGGATCATAGAAACCATTTACCAAGTAATTAATGACACAAAAAATATAATAGTACTATTATTTTACATAGATACCAGTTGGTCTTGCTTCGGTGTACTTTTAAAATTCATTTGAATATGTAAATTAGGTTTTTTAAATTATAACCAACCAGATATTGTGCTATATCTGTAACTAATTTGTATGCTTTTCTATTTTTATTGTTTTATATTGTCTGGCAGTTTGTATGCCAATTAGAACTGGACTATAATTGCTGTTAATTTAGTTGTCTTCTTGTGAAGTAACTCTGCAAATCTTGGGCTTAGTAGACTGATAATAACCAGTTCATAAAGTATACATTTAATTATCATAGACAAGTATCCGGTAGTTCCCACTATTAGTGGGGATTTTGAAACAAATGCCTTAATATTTTTGATCCAAACAGTCGAAGTTTTGTTTATAACAAAGATCAAGATTTTTATTATTTTAAATAACATAAATTAATGCCGTAATATATTATTGTATCCTTTTTATTTAAAGATTAACTGCCAAAATGAGTTCATAACACTTGTATCCACAACAACTTCATACAATAATTAATTACAAAGTGACTGCACATTATTTTTGGTTTATACAGTAACAAAGCAACATTATTAAATACCAATGAACCTACAGGAGTTATCTCTAACAAAATATGGCGACATTCCTATCAGAAAATTGATAAATAATATCACTAAATAGCTATTTACCTGTCCAATGAATAGTGGCCATGAATCATTATTTAATGTAGAATGAAAATGGGTGCAGTTATTATTCTCTGATTATTTTTATCCTATATTGGAAAATAATGAAGCTTATCTTGTTATTGTATGAAAAATAATAGATAATACATTTGTATTTAATAGTTAAGTATGTGTTACCTTGGCAATATTCATAAAAATGGGTCTTATTGTTATTGTATATTGCAAATTACAATTTAATTGTCATTTATAATGGATTTGCTGCAAAATGATACTCATGTATTGTTTTTTATCATGGTTTATAAAATGAACAATCTTACAATAACCTCCTCCTTGCCTCCTTATTAACAGATGTTGTATAAATATCTTGCCATTGATGGCAAACTCAGTTAGTTATTAAACTTGTGATTAAGTTATGGGTATGCAAATGCAATGATCCTTATAGTATGTATACCTTAAAAAAGGCGCACTAGACAAAGTAATAAAATAAATTGTTCTAACACATTATAAGGTTATTAACAAATCAATTAGTGGATGCTGCTACCTCCCCTCTGTAGCTAATTACACTCCAGAATAAATCGTACATAACTATGAAGATCCACTTTCTTTACAATGGTTTTTTCTCCATATAAGAAGAGACCTTGCCATGGAACATTTATCTATTACACTTATAAACATGTTTGCTTAACATATTTAAACATCATGGGAGTATCCCGTCCCATTGTTAGTGGAGGATATCCCTTCAACAGTTTTCTATAGAATATCAAAAACGTATTATTGTACAATATGCATTCCAGGACAACTTCCTGCCACCATCACAACGTAACAACTATGACTGCGAGAAGGACCCCACGGGGCCCCTGAACCGCAAGAAGCTGATAGAACACATAAACAAACAAGCACTGGAGACACCAGACCGGCCGGAGATCAAGCCTTATGTTGCTGGTGTTGTAAGAGGAAAGAAGGTTAGTACTTATTACATTATATTTTATATCAGTACTTACATAAGTGAACAATCTTCTATATTTATAAAAATGAAACCCGTTTCCTGTTGTCATGCCATAACTTGAGAATGGCTGGACAGATTTGGCTGTTTTTTTTTGTTGTGTTTGTTATTGTCAGGAAAATGATTTTATGATAGAAAATAAATCTTGAAAATCTTATGGGAACGGGAGAAAACGGGATTGGATACTATGTTCAAAAAAATAGCTTTTCCTTAGGCATTACATGGAATATTCGTTTGAAATATAAGTATGCATGAAAAGAGTGATGACTGTTGATGAAGCGAAAGAGGTATGTAGGAATCGTAGTAATTGGCGTTCCATAGTCTCTGCCTACCCCCATGGGAGACAGGCGTGTAATTATGTATGTATGTATGTAATATTAGTTTCTGAATTTCTTAATATATAAAATAAATAATAATACATGTATTTTCCTACAATTTTATAAATATCCTTAGCTTCTATTTACATGGCATGATAATGCACCTGTAATATTGCCACAACATTAACTGGGACAGATTATTATTATTACATTAAATATTAATTTATTCTATGACTCATATCATACTGTTGATAGGCGATACCTACAAAACACACGTAGCTTAGTCCTCATAATCGAAGGTTTGTTTATAAACTGATAGGTGTGTAATCACTCAACTAATTATTTCTTATGACTTATGAGCACATTCTTTATTGATAACTATTGTCGTACTGTCGCCCGCTTTTCATGCACGAGGGTGCGGGTTCGAGACCAACAGCAAGTACCAATGTGACTTTTCCCGAGTTATATGTACTTTCTAAGATTATACGCAATGAACTAGCGTGGTGATTAATGCTCAAACCTTCTCCGTCCGTGTGAGAAGAGGCTTTGCTCAACAGTGGGCACTTATGGGCTGTTGATGATGATGATGAGGAACTACTGTCTGCTTATGTAAATTCATTTTATTAAACTTCTAATAAGTGTTTATTATATTACTGTGCAATTCTAGAACCTTATTGGGAAAAAAATAATATAATAGTTTATTTGTACTTAAGGACTTAATAAAAATACTGACTGTCTCGTTGGCCGAGTGGTTGCAAGTGCGACTGCCGGTCAAGGGGTCTCGGGTTCGATTACCGGGTCGGGCGAAGTACTACTGGGTTTTTATTAATTCTCAGTAGTAGCACGGAGTCTGGAATGGTGCCCGGTATATGGCAATAGGCTCACCCCTTATTACATGGGATTCATAACATAAATATTGAAAAGTGGGTGTTACATTGTACAGTGGCATAATGTGCACCTCTGCCTACCCCTTCGGGGATAAAAGGCGTGATGTTATGTTATGTTATGACTTAATAAAACATGTCAACAATAATTGTGGCTACAATTTTTTATAGGTATATGATTTCAGTTTCTATAGTCGAACTAGGCATTGCCTGTAATCCGACTACAGGCAAGCAGAGGCAAATAAAATTACAGTTTAGGTTCAATGTTATTTATTTCGCCAACATTTAGGTATGATGTTTTGTCACTCATAATGTTGCATCAATTGACTTACTGCTTGGAGTAACATTGAACCATAATCATAAATTTATTTATATAGATTTTTCTGTGTCACATATACCATTATATCTACCTATTACACATACTGTTGCACATCTCTGCATCACCCCATGGTTGAGACTGTTAGAGAATGCCACCCGGCATTAAGTCCGCCATCGTATGTTTATTATACAGAAGTGTTAATAAATAAATAAATAAATGAACCAATGAGTCGGTAGTCTTAACAAGAACTTGTTTTCTAGTTTACCGTGAACAGTGATTATGAGCACTAAAACAACAATCTTACCTTTCTTGCGTTCGAATATTATATAGCAGCATCATTACAGTATATTCTATATAATTTTTGTTCCCATTTCCAGTGGATCCCGCCCCCAGCGCCCGAGAAGGTACGCGACGCGGAGGAACAGATCTCCATCGACCTCGGAGACGAGTACGAGCAGGCCCTCACAGATGCCTCGCAAGAGGAGATCATTGACCTGGCTGGTATGTCCTTTACATTTCCTCTATTTTTATAAATAGTGACTTGCGCAAAATATTTGTGATGCGCAAACATGTGTTAAAGTTAGCGCAAGTATAATGATAAATTTTACAGTGTATATTTGTTTGGTTTGTGCAATTTTATCTAACATGTTATAGTTACCTCAGTATGTTAACTGATGATAATTGTGCTATGTTAATAGCCATCTTTCTTCTTTATTCTGTAAACAGTAAGGTTGATTTTCAAATTCATATCTATTGTAATGATAGCCGCGTACTGCATAGCTCATAGATACCCAATGCTGCAATACTGTTTTGAATAAGATATACGTCAATAGTGATCCATTCTAATATTGTTAGACATACAGAGCTTATTGTAAAGAATTTTGGCAGGAGTGTAGATGTTTGCTCAAGTAACCCAGTACCACATATCGTAATAATCCATTGTAGCTTCGAAATACCTAGCTAGACAACTGACACGGTTACCATCAGAATAAACGAGGCCTTACGACACATCTTATTATTTATGATGACTGAAATCAGGAAATTTTCTCTTGTAACGACAATAGGCACCGTCATATTACCCTGGCGACCGTCCAGCTTTATCTCGAGTTCATTGCAACGCGAACAATATCCGAAGTCTTAAAGATTATGTAGTCTTTGTCTATAAAACATCTTTAGCTTTGTATGATAATTACATAATATAATTGATTCTAGAGAAACGGCTCGTCTCTGGAATTTAATGAAAGAATTATGTATTGAGTTTCTTTGTAATATGCGTTTTGTGATTCATTTGTTTGGTTCAAAATTTCGATGTCGAAATACGACGTTGATGTATGTTGTCAGTGACAGGAATATGTATTGTTGTGGTCACATGTAAAAGAAATATTAATGGTTTAAAAAAAATGAAATGCATTCTCGCTATTTCTTGCTTATTTTATATTGTGTTACGTAATGACATTCCTACTTTATTTTGTCATTGTGGGTTAAATTATTTCTTTTTCGTTTATGCATTAAGCTTTCATAAAACAATCTTTATTTAGTTATACCGAATCAACGAATTCACATCACATCATCATATTTTACATATGTCTATTGTACCATATAGTATATTAAACAAGAATTATTCCATTCCAGCTATCCTCGGTTTCCACTCGATGATGAACCAGGATCAGTACCACGCGTCTCTGCTGAACAAGGGACAACCTGTCGGCCTCGGCTGGGACGGTATCACCAAAGCCACCAAACCCAAGGTAACAAATAACAAGATTTACTAAATAAAGTATTATGGTATAGAGAACAGACAAATTGTAACCAATCTTGCATTCTGAACTACTTAATCTGATCCTAGACTTTATAATTTGGCGCGGAGGACCTAACGAGTTATCGGGGCTCCGGCTCGAAGTGCAAGAGTAGGATCGGGGTGTTTTTAGTCAGTAAGAGTCTGACACTCCCTCCCGCCTCACCCTAGCGGGATAAGTCGTTCGATTATTTTCCCCCCTTTAGGAAAAGAACTTTATTATAATTTCAGTGCACTTAAATATTCTCCAGTTTACTTTCAACTCAACTAAACTAACGGAACTCCATATAGAGTTAAAACATCTAATAAAATACAAAAAATATCATACCGAATATCGGATATTATATTAATAGAACGTTTAAGTTACACAAATCCTAGAAAGCTTAATCCTACTCACCTCTCACTTCCTCAATCTTGAAAACCCTATAGTTCAAAAGGCTGGCAACGCATTTGCAACTCCTCTGGAGTTGCAGGTAGTTATAGGTAGCGCCGATTGCTTAAAAATCTAGAGTGTTAATGTATTGTGTATGGCAATTGCAGGTGTACCCCATGGACCCTCCCAACGACACGGACCCCGATGAGACCATCAAGCGGGTGCAACAGAATGACCAGAAGCTCACTGATCTCAATTGGAATAATATTAAGGTGGGCCTTACAATCTTATGTGCTAATTTTTATCTATGAGGGCCAGTACAGTTGATCTAGAGTATATTTCTTATTCATTTTGATTTAGTTTAGAGTTGGTTCTCTTTTTTTTTAAATGTTTCCCTTATTTCTCTTTATTTTATTGACGAGAAGGAAGATGAATTATCACATGTTGTATCTTGTGTACAGAACATAAGCGAGGAGAAGTTCGAGAAGTTGTTCGAGGGTCTGAAGAGTAACACGTCGCTGGAGGTGCTGTCGCTGGTGAACGTGGGCCTGAACGACCGCGGCGCGGCGCTGCTGGCGGACGCGCTGCGCGTCAACTCGGCGCTGCGCGTCGTCAACGTGGAGACCAACTTCATCTCGCCGCCCGCGCTGCTGCAGCTCGTCCGCGCGCTGCTCGACACGCACGCCGTCGAGGAGTTCCGCGCCTCCAACCAGGTATACCGGACAAACTACAACTTTACGTTTAGCGCAACTTAACATAAATTTGCGCAAGTGACTGCAAATTAGCGCTAGCAACTGCAAATTAGCGCAAGCAATGGTAATGATTGAAATATGAGGATAGGTAAATCGTGCGGGGACAGTAAATTTTCATGCAAAAAAACACCGTAATGTTATTTAAACAATATGAATGCGCAACGTTTTCACTACTGGTGTTTTAATAAAACCCAAATCTTCACAACCAGAGGTGAAAACTGGTTATATCTATTTAATCCTAATAATAAGTGAATATCACCAATAGTTTTTATAGTAACAATTATTTAATTGTAATGTTCCAGCGGTCACAAGTGTTGGGTAACAAGATAGAGATGGAGATAACGTCTCTGGTGGAGCAGAACCCAACGTTACTGAGACTCGGACTCCACCTCGAGTACAGCGACGCACGACACAGGATCGCCAGCCATCTGCAGAGGAACATCGACAGAAGTGAGTTCTATACACTATATGATCACTTGCTATACGCATACTTGGTTATATCGTCGCAACTTACACTCATATACTCGCTATATTCAAAAATATCTCGTATCAGATAGATAGAAATAGGTATTTGATATGAAAATGATATGTCCTTCTAAATGCGCAAAGAATAATCAGTTGCGCAAATGTTTTCTGCAATAGACTTGCGCAAATGGGTTTTGCGCAAACCTCTTTGTGAATGCTACTGAGAAAAGGAACTGAACATAGATAATAATGAAGTCTAAATGAGCGTTGTGTGTATATGTGCAAGTTAAATGACGACTTAATCGAGTATCTGTATAGTAAGTTTATCCATAATTAATGCAAAGACGATTACACCAACAAATGTATGTCAAAGACTCCTTTTGACAGTACCTCGTTGAAAAACTGGAAATTTTAATCGTCTCTGTATCTCTATTTATCTAAATATTTACTTTTACAACGATATATGCTCATCTCTATGTCAAACGATGAATATTTAACAGTTTTATTACAGGTTCTTTATATACTGATGTGTTATATATATATTCAAATATTATACTCATCTATATGTTCAAACATGGCTACGATCACGAATGACATAACTAGCATACAACTCTCACTCCTATGTCTGCACGTTAAAGCTCACTGTGGCGTGCAAGAAGCGGCAAGTAACACGAATCATACGATACTCTCATATTGTCATTAAGAAATGTGCACAGACACATGCAATTTTGTATAAGATTATAATTATTTAGTGTTTAACAATACAAATGCAAGAGATTGGTTCTACTTTTATCTAGTTGTCCAATCTCCTCGTATGGGCTAAATCACAAAATAATAATGGTCTTATACAAATGGTTGCAATTTGTCTAGTGACGTTAGCTACAGGGTATAGCCCGGGCCACACTCGCGTAAACATTGACACGTTTCGTTACCCTTCATAGATACGTCGATTGTTGATATACTACGTGGTCTAAGCGCACAGTTAGAATGAAAAATCAACCAAACCATAATATCTTTGTTCTATGGTGACTATAACTGGGTACATAGGTAATGGTTAGTTGTATTTGTTAAGTTCGCGTTGAAACCAATTACCTTCATGTTCTACTTAATAATTGTAAATTGTAGATTGAGTGCGGACACGTAGCGGTCAACTTCGACATTAACAAGTCTACATATGCACGTATGGCGCATTTTGCGACATCTGCCCATCCTTAGCTTTATTAACCGTCGACATATGGAGACTACGTCCCAAAGAACGTCCTGTATATACAATATATGCTTGTGTCTAATGAGAGTCTGGGATACAGCGGCCAGAACACTATTTGTAGTGTTTTCAAACAATAATCATTCTAAGACAATCATTTTGTGTTAACGGACATACAAGTAGCAGAACAACTAAAACGTGATGCACCGCCATGAAGATCAGTATCGTACGTGAATAAACTAATATGTCGTACTCGTCACAAGCTACATCGATAATTTGGAATCGATTCTGGCGCTCAGATTGTCGAGTGCTAAAGAAAGCGAGCGCGTCCCTGAGTGCGCGTCGTCCGCGCGGTCCGCCGCCCGCCGTCGGCATCGACTCCAGCTTCTTCAACATGACGCCGCCCAGCGCCGAGGCACTCACTCCCACCACCGAGGAACCCAAGCCCGTCATCTCCGAGACTGTCGAGACCTCCCTCACTGTCAAGACCAAGGCGCAGCCCGACGACAGACCCACCTCCATCACTATTGGCGATGGAAAATTGGAACCAGAAACGCCTGTCACGAATGTACAACCTGTTGAACCGGTTACGACTGAAACTGTAGTACCTACCGATAATGTTCAACCGGTGCCTAGTGAAGACCGCCTCGCAGGCGAGCCAGAACCCGCGGTCCCTGAAGGCCCGGCGGAAGACAGCTCAGATAAGCTCAGCGTCCCACCGGCGGAGGAAGTGGATCGCTTCGTGAAGGCGAGCCCGCCTGACGTTAACCCCAACCCTCACTCGTGAGTAGCCGCGACTCAATGCAACTCACAACACACGCGTGCCCCCCCCCCACTCTATTTTTGTAGATTTTACACCAAACAGTGTTTATGTGAATTCGAACAATATGCATTTCATAGCAAATTTACTTACGGAAGGGAGGAATACCACAATATCTGACGTGCATAAATGTGCTTGGCTCAGAAGTCTACGAACGACTGCGTTTATAGAACAGCCTCCCATGTCTATGTGCCCTCAGATTAGCCTGTCTTCTGTATCCATAAAACTTGCATGTCTGTGTCATCAGACATACGTAATGAATGTTTATGTTTTTGTTCTATACGTAATATTGATTTTCGTCTGACATTGTGAAGTCCATCACGTATCATTTCCATGGTTCACAAAGGTGTAAAATTGTTCTAATTCACATGTGCGACAAACAGAAGACACATGTATGCGACAGTAGATGAGAAATATGTTGTTCCATTCCAGTACGGAAAGACCTAACGCTGCGACTTCAGTTCAGATTCTTTAACCAACTGGCAAAGGGCGCGCGTAGCCAATAGGCAGGAGGTCAGGCCCACGGTACATTGTTGGCACGGCATTAACAACACTACGCTTTGGTTACAGCTTCTATTTACTACGCGCCTGTTGAGTGACACTTACACACATACACCTCGTGCAGTTTTATACGACACACACTCTCTTTTATTATGATAAATCTTTCACTATACCAAAGTAATAAGAAAGTAGTGAAAATTTATAGTAAAATGTGATAAAGTATGGCTTCCATAAATATAATGGAATCCAAGAGTGGTTTATAACTCAGATGTTATAATGCTTTTGTTAATATCTGAATAATTGATACAAGTTCTGTAAAACTGCACTATACCTAGTCGAATATGACATTGATGACGCCCAATAATGTCATAAATGCCGTATTTATAGACTTAACAATCTGAAAATTCTTTATAACTTGATAAATAATACTGTCTACTTTATTTTCTTTTAAACTATTTCCTTTAAAATCTCGAAGATAAAACAAAACTAATATATTTGATGTGTTTTCTATGACAAACTTTAACAGTTAACAATTTAATTTCTAGCAGTGAGGGGAACGTAGAACAGACCGATAATATATAGAAATGGCCGCATAAAATTGGTAAAATGTCATCTGTTTTGGCGCGAATGTAAATGGCCAATACGATAGTGCCGTGCTGTTTTTCGGGAAATAACGGTTTTTACAGCGCAAAGGCTTAAGCTAATCAGGATTTTATCGCTTAGTGAGCCTGCGTCGAGCTATGGGGTCCCAGCTGCGACAGGATAGTCATAAACGTTTGTTTACACCTATTAACTAGAACCATAAACAAAAAGAAATATTTTCCTGAACTCAATGACTCGCATGGTTGTGACTACTAACTTACTGTTTGCGGAATGTACAAAATACTAAAACTCATGAACAAGACTATGATGAGCATGGATATGAATTTCCTACTGTGTTATTGTGTTATGAAGTTGATTGAAACGATTGATTGTTAATACATGTTTATCCTTTGTTATGATTTATTTCTAAATGAACCTCACGATTACCGATGTTCGCTATATGAAAATGGCCGCTCGAGTGGGCTATAAATACCTTGTATTATTGTTTTGAGTTCAAGCCTCCTTGATCTGGTACAAATGGGTTCGCATTTAGATTTGTTATTGTGGATATTACTGATTACAAATTTCTTGGAGATCTAATGTTAGTCATTCACTTCCAGTATTTAGGAACAGAACTGAAAATAAGTATGTAGTTTGCTATACTTAGAAAAACAATTTTTAATGGAAACAAAAATGCCTCTTGAGTCAGTGAAGATATTGATCAAAATAGCGAGCATCGGTGATTTAAATGTATGTGTATATATAAATGTGTGACACGTGTCGGTGTGTATGCATTACAGTACGCCAGCAGCGACGGAGCCAGAACAGCGCTTAGAGCCTTGAACTGTCGCACGCGGTAAGTTCCTACTATTACTCAACATAATAAACACGTAATCTAGAGGCATTTCTAATTACATCTTCATTAGAAATATCAAAATTACGTCTTTCATTACGTTCTAATTTGTATCATTTTCTTTTACATGACTATCAAGTACTTACGAGTCCTTACTTCTTTGAAAAGTTGTTAATTCTTCAAGTAATGCTTTGTAATATACCTCTGCTTTCCCAGCTTTTAATGTGAGATGCTTTAAGTGTAAAAAAACCTTTTGGTTTTAAAATCTTATGACACTGACCAATTGTGGTGAATAAAAATTATGGTACCTGATTGTTTGTAAATTTCAGTCAGATTCAATCTTTAAGAACACATTTTGTGAGAAAAGAATATCTGGACTGCCATGACTACCAAGTCAATTAAAAAAAATACTCAAATTACTTTTTTATAATGGCATCTTGCAGGCGATCATGGGTATGCATAAACGACCTTGAATACCTGGATACCATTTTGGCTTAATGAGTAGTGGAGTTTTTGACTATTTTGTTTTGTATCTTATCTGTCACTACAAATATATCTAGACAAATCTTTGGACCAGATGATGGAAGGTTTGTTAAATGTCTTTGAAATGTTAAAAATACTGTTGTGTGCATTTTGCAAGCACATGTTTACAATGTTACCCTATGCATGATTGCATTATTCCATGCATATCACACCTAGTTATTGTAATCCCATAGTCCTTACTTTCTATACTAATATATAAAGTTCCCAAAGGTTAAATTATAAATATAAATTTAATATATATTTTTATTAATGTTTTATGAATAATTTAACTTTTAAATTCTATCATATTGTTACCAAAATATTTAGACATGCTTTTCTATAAATACACCATTCTTTTTTGTATAATTTACACATTATTCATTTACTTATCTTCTGTACATAATAACATCCAATCTATAGTTTTCACTTTTCTTATACATTGTACATTTATTTATTGTTGTATACCGTTGTGTAAAACTCACGTGTCACGGCTTTTTGCACTTGTTTACTCAAACAAAAGTTAAAGGTTTTTATTTTCAGTCAGTAATTGCGATGATAATATTTTATAGACCTTACGTTGGAAACCGGAAGAATATCTTATAATAATGATTCAAAATAATACTTAATAAATTGTATATTAATCACGGGTAAACTAAGATAAAATAACCAGCTATAAACTGCTTTAACAACAACGATTAGATTAAGACTGATATTTTTACTTTTTTTTAATCCAGGTCAACATTACCACAGGAGTTCAAAATATGTGTTGTAACAGGGTGTATGTATGTTGCAGGCGGTCGCATCAGACGCCTGACCCAGTTCACCCGCAGCCGCAGCTACGTGGTGGGCTGGATCCCGTGACGCCCGGCTCGTGTCGCACTCCCGCGCATCGCACGCCCCACCACACGGACTTTGTGATTGAGTATTTTGAACACGCTACACGCATTACAATATGCCCCTTTGTACATAAATCTTCAATACTAAACAATTTTAATCTTCAAATGACTGCATCCATACAAATCCATTAAGGTTCGACCACGAGTCGTGGCACGAATGCCTTCGACGTGTGTGTATTTTGTATGTCGGTAGTCCTTTAAGACTAAAATTGTTGAGTATCGAAGATTTAGATAGCCTTGTGTACGAAGGGACTTAAACTCCATGCCTTTATGTAGTTAATTCTGTTTTCAGCAGCAAATTATATTTTGTAATAGATTTTCGACTTTAATACAAAACTTCTAAGTTGAATATCTGTTGTAGAAACTTAACAGATTGAGGTTAACCTGCTAGCGTTTGTACTTTGAAGATAGAACATGTCTGTCTTCATAGACGAAGTCTTTTTCAAGTACATTCGCGTTGTTATTTCATACTGTAATTAATTAATAAAGCAATTTCCTGATTATCTTCTAGCTGCTAAACGTGGAGTATACTGTAGCTTACGCTTGGATAGATCAAAAATTTCGCGAAAACAAACTGACTTTTACTTCATAGTTTTAAATAAGACGAGGTGCTTAGATGTTAAACGTGAATATTATGTATTTACTTGTACTTTTAAGTAATACCTTCAAAGTTACAAGTAACGTAATATGAATACTAAGGTAAAGTACTCAAAATACGCAATCACAATTAAAATGTACGGCCAGATTAATTTGGTACATCTGTAGAAGAATGTTGTGTGCTAACAAGAATTGATATTTTATTATGTTATTCTATATATTATACAAGGTTTATGAAATACAGAAACATCACTAGCGCGATGGCCGGCCCATCGCTAGTACCTCTATATTTATGATAAAATCACAATTCTTGTACTGAAGTGTGAACGATGGACGTTTTATTATTAATTCTTACTATAGTGTGCTAATGAATTCGTATTAATTTTATTATGATATTAAATTGTAATATATTTTATAGATGTGCACATTCCATTAATGCGAAACATGCTTCTCTTATTGACGCTTTTTAGTTTAACAAAGTTATGTTAAATTTTAATAAGTAATACAACATTATTTAATTATTGTTGAGGTAGCTGTGCAGTAGTTAAAGCTAGTTCTACTTCTGCAGACATCAGCTAATGCTGCTGATCTATCTCGATAAAGCCACACGTAACTTGTGGCAGTTTTAAGTTCCTTCATATTATATTTTTGACAATTTTAATATATTTTTTGACTAATGAAATTAAACTTTATTATAATTGAGTATCAGCTCAAAGTTGAATAACAAAAATGACTGATTAATTGTGACTTGCCAACATTTTGATTGTAATAATGTTAGACAAACAAGGAAGTGATATAGAGAAGCCATGTTCTGCGTCAATGGAGCGTAATTTTAAATATTTCAATAAAGCACTAGGTTTGTTCGCAGTGTCTTAGACTTTCGATATATGCCTTCGATGGAATTTTGTAATTTTGGTATTCGATAGCATTCTAGCTAACGCCTAGCGACGTACTGAGGCTTTTGATATTATGAGGAATAGCTTTTATAACGTAACCTTTTGCTTTCTTGAAACAAAAAAAAATGCTTAAAAATGTAACTTTATGTATATTTAGTGAATCTACTGGGGAACTAAGTGTCCATAACATTGTGATACAGACATCATATTTTCCATTAAAAATCAACTTCGATTTTTTTTCGTCTGTTAGTTTCAATAAGAGAGATTATTTGTATATGATTTTAGATTTTTAAAATGTAATATTCTTTTAATGTGACGATTTATAAAGAAAAATTAAATTAATATAAATCATAATTTAATTGTAATGTTAGTTTTATTTATGTTGATATATTACGGTTCAGGAGCATTTTGATCCAACGAAATACCTTGACTAGTAGAGTCGCAGTGCTGTAGTTTGTGACAACTGTAAAAAATATTAATAAAGTACATAAACAATATTCAGTGTTTTATTCAGAAACGAATTTACGAAACCTTCCAGTTGTGCTGTAGCTCCAGTCGAATACGTAAAGGATTTGATAAGGTCTTTGTAAAATAACAAAAATTGTCAATATGAGTCTTTTTTTATATGATGGGCCGACGTTAGACCACTGTCTCGCCTGATGGTAAGCGATGATGCGGCCTTCGATGGAGCACGTCGTCCCATAAAAACCTATTCACTCTGGCCTTGAAGACACCCAGGTTACCCTTCAGGAAATATAGAATTTGAGCAAAGAATTCCACTCTAGCAGCACGCACAAAGAAGTTTAAATGGGAAGCGCTTCGTGCGTGTGGGTGGGAGACATCCACCGCTTCGACGATTGTCCTGTAGTACGATGATTGAAAGGACTAGGGGGAATCAAGTTGTGCAATACCCTCACACACTCACCGAAATGTATGCGGTAGAACGCTTCAAAGGTTGTAAGCCTTTCGCCTGTGTTCGAGGCCTCCAGAAGCGCAAGCGCGTATACTATTAGAAAAGACATATTTTGCTGTTGTAGGCACAAGGTGATTGTGACCTTGGGCTGGAATGGTCCTAATGAAAGATCTCAAACCTAGATCTTGACGATCACTAATAATTTGCACTTTAGTAAAAATGCTTTATCCTGCAATATCTCAAAATCGAACTAAAGTACGCCTGGGTTTGAAAAAAAATCTTAGTGGTAGCTCGGAGTTTGAAATCGTGCCCGGTATATGGCAAATTGGCAATAGGTTCACCCCCTATTACATGGGACTCATAACATAAATAGTGAAATAAATGGGTGTTACATTGTACAGTGGCATTAAGTGCCGTAATGTGCACCCTACCCTTTCGGGGATTAAAGGTGTGATGTTATGTTGTGTTATTTTAAAATCTAGAGGTACTATCTAAACAATAACTGAATTGTCACACCTCAAGCAAAGACCTTGCTTATCGAGGGACAGGGTGGTCGTGACCATGCGTTGAAATGGGTCCATTTAAAAAATCACAAACATAGTTTGATGTGACCTTCGCCTGGAATGGGCCCATAACAGCAGACTTAAGTACGAGTATGTTTTACGTTTAAAGTAAACGAGATGAGATTGCGAATGCGATTGGTCGGCTCTAATGAACCATTCGGTACCAATCAGAGGACTTAGTACGAGTTTCTTTTACGTTGAAAGTAATCGAAACGAGTATGCGTTCGGCGCTCCTGATTAGCCGGCTCCAAAGAACCAACCAATCAGAGGGCCAGACGCAGTCTCGTTTCGATTATTTTAAACGTAAAACAAACTGGTACTAAGTCCTTAGAAAATATGTATATTGTCGAGGTACGAATGTGTTGATGGAGTTTAGGGTTGGCCGAAATAGTATGTAAGTACTTGTACCCACAAAGCTACTCTTGTATACAGTGGGAATTTTGGGTTGTAAATAAAAGTACTCGCAGTTCACACAAAGCTTTATTTTTGATCCGTCAGATATGTTTCGATAACAGTTTTCCAAAAAAAGCTACGAGTACGTACACATAGGTATCATTTAAATGAAGTAAGTACCTAACAGAAAATTATAATAATGGAGACCACAGCAGTACTTACTGTAACTTTAATAATGATAACAATTTATTTATGTATTTGGTTATGGTGTGTTAAATAGGAAAGCATATAAGGTTTCGATATTTTCCATTCAATGTGTTAAACGTCCCCGTAACGAAACTTAAACAGAACGATGTAGCCGCCATTATTGTTTTATTTTCGCTAAAAATAAAACAATGCGATTGAGCAATATTGAACGGTCTCAAGGCTTGTTGAATTTTTAATATTATTTATAAATTCTAATAATAGTATAAATAGTTAAGCATAGTTATTGTCAATTTGGAAGACAAAGCGTGTCGAATTGATAATACTTACATATATTATAATAATAAACAAACGATAAAATTGTTGGTTATTCTCTATAGACTTCGTAATCTATAGCCAGCCAACAAAAATATACGAATAAAAAATAAATAAAAAACAATAATCACTCGAAAAAAATATATTAAAAAAAAACAACACAAAAATCTAACAAAACGTAATAATAACTGACAACATGAAAATTGGACACAATTGTTATAAACCTTACAAAATTTACAAAGGAACACTTACTTATGACGTCACCTGTTTAATATATAATTGCAAAACATTACATCTATCGCTACGGTGAAGAAACACACAGAAGCTGTAAACGGAAAACTTACGAAAAACGCCGACAAGTGATGATGAAAAACAAGTTACTTAGTTTACTATCATAGAAGTAAGGAATTAAATGTTTCTTTTATGTAATCATGTTGTAATCAACAGCTCAAGGCTGATATTAAAATTGTAAAAACAATTTCTTTTTGTCAGCGTTTCGGCAGCATTCCATTTAGTCTGTATGTATACAGTTGGACAAACAATTTGTTTGTATAATTTAATCACACAGCTAATTAATTTTGTGGCCTTCAAATGTATAAATACTATATTATATTATATTTATTAATTTATTTCAATTAAATAGTATAACATTACAGTCATTATACATGGCAAGGCGTTATACATTTCATTTATATAATTTCTACAGTTTGTTTTGAAGCTATTATTGTCATCATTGGCTAGCCGTGCGGCTATTAAGTACACCCTAGATCAAACTAGGCTCTAGAAACGTCTATATCTATAAACCAGGAATTTATAAATTGAAAAAGCTTAATTTAATTTGAACAGCAAAATGTCTAATTCATGGAATGTGCATGTCATTATTAATTTCAATTATTAAAATATATTTACATGCGATTTTATATAATGGCACTAATTTTAAAACTGAATACAAAATGGTAGAACACAATATCAAATAAAAATTACAATACTATGCAATGTAAGTACATCATCAATTATACAAAGAACATTATCTACAAAATAGATAGATATTACAAGATTATTATCAAAGATAGGACATTTAGGCAAAATCATCAATTCTAGGTAACTGTCTACATGAGTAGTTAGAAATAAAAAAATGTAAAATATATTTTTTATAATAATTGAGATTTTGGTGAATAATCTAAAAGAAATATATATAGACATTAACTCGTAAGGTCCGGTCGCACTAGGGCGGAACCACAGCAGTTTATGACCGCGTAATTGGTGGAACAAGAAACCGAGTACAAGCGGCCACACTTGCGGTTTTGTCGCCGCGGTTCCACTGTGTTGCGGCCAGGACTTAAATGGGGTTGAAAAAGTATACACATAGGCCTACTGTGAAATATTTCAGAATTAATTGACTTCTCGGCCTAAAATACCGACTCAAAAGGACACTAAAGGTGCACCAAACGGCTGCCTCTTTATTATAATAGTAAATAGTCAAAATACACCAACTCCTATACTATCTAGCCAAGCTATACCAACAAGCTACTTCTTAAATATTAACTCGTCGAGTACCGGTTTTATAGACACAATTAAAGAACAATAGGTCGCGGTCACCGGTGACCGCTTGGTGTTTGACAGTTTAATTAAAGAACAATAGGTCGCGGTCACCGGTGACCGCTTGGTGTTTGACAGTTTAATTTATAGATGTTTTATCTCACGAGCGAGTATGCTCAATACTTGTGTGGGTAAATGTACGCGCACATTGTCTTTGTTTGCGTACGCTCGGGAACGCCCAGTTTCGGCCGACGGCCAATGAATGAGCTTGCTGCGAGTTACGCACACAAGCGCGCGTGTTTATACGGAACACAACTACAACTATGGCGCACCCGCGCGAGGGATAAAATAACTATAGCTGTTTTAAATTTTGACGCATCGTAGCAACTGACCAGCGTATGTGAAGTTAACAACGGATACAAGTAAAGGATGTTTTGTAACCTGCAAAATTACTATAGCCAAACTTAGTTCAGAGGCCTCATTAATTTGTTTTACGTTAAAGTAATCGCAGCGAGACCGCGTTCGACGCTCTGATTCGCTGGTTTTTTGGAGCCGGCCAATCGGAACGCTGAACGCTGTCTCCGCCCTCAGAATATTTAAATATTTTTTGTGATATAAAAGCAATAATTGTTGAAAGTAAAATCATATAATTTTAGTGTTTAAAACACTTGTAGATATAAAGTAGATAATAATTTTAGATACCACTAATTAAAACATCTACTTACGCACTACTGCAACATCGCTAATAATTCCAAAAAGCTACTTTCTAAATCCATGATTTCCGTACATTTTGGTCATGTGTATAGGCAATCGTTGATAGGTCTTATAACTTTATAATAATACAAGATTTTAAAATAGAATATAATACAAAACAAACCTAACACCCATTATCTTTGAGATTCCAACCGCAACTATTTATAAAAGTTATAGAATAATGATTATTATTCATTAAAAATATTGCAATTTATAATACAATTTGATAGTTACAGGTGAAAAATAAAAGCAAGATAATCCAAAATATTAGTTTTATTTTAATACAAAATAGCTTCTCTATTTAAGCATTTATCGTGCGTAAGTACAAAGCGTATTAAGTAAGCGTTGACGCACTAATGTTACAAAGCAAGAGTTGTTCGCGATATCATCTCATTATAGATGGCAGTGCAATCGCGGGGCCACAGTTTATAGTCTGTGGCCGTTAAACCCATGGAATTAAGATTTATAATTCCACGTAAGTTTTATAAAATAACTAATTTTTATAATAATATCACTTCAAGAGAAGATAAAAAATTTTAGCAACCAATTTTTCATTATAATAGCATTTTTCCTAGGAAACAATTTCATAAAGTGACAAGAATTTCAAGACGTAAGCACAGATTACTTTTGAAACATGTCTTTTATTATCTATTCTAAGCCTGACCACCTTCCACCTCATTTATTTATTTATTTAATTAAAACATTATTGGGAATGTAAAATGCATCATAATGACTGAATTAATAAAAATACAATATTTACACAACATTTAAATTATCGTTTTAAAATCGTTGTTTCGATAACTCGGGGAATAAAAATGGATGGTCTTTACATTTAGTCTAATGTCTGATACAAATAATTAAATAGGATTTACAAAATAATTATTTAAATCATCGGGATAGTTTTTTATACATTTTATTACACACACTTCAATGAAAAAGCAAAATGATGGAGTTAGATATGTTATATTTGTTTATTAGTTTCTGCTTGACATGACGATAAAATTAAAAGTGCTGTAATAACATGTATAAAAACTTTGCTACTACTCTATTCAACACTTGTACTGTCATTACGAAAGAACCTTGAAATTAATTTATTTTGTCATATAATATTAATTATATTATCTTTTAATGAGAAGCTTTTAGACATGCAATATGTATTATAATTAATACATCTATATTTTTTGAAGGGATTAGGTATAATAAAAATACTCTTATAATGACTTATTGTCAGTGCCACTGTGATCGGATTCAGCTAATTTTATGTTTATTATTTTAAATCTATTTATAAGTACGTTCAATCGTAATGGCATGCACAAGTTAACCTACTGAGTGCTTAGTGTGAGTGTATTTGACGTTAACGCGATCGTTCATGACGTTCGGAGCCCTGATTGGTCAGCTCAAAGTAGCCCACCAATCATAGAGCTAACACGTTAGCGTAAAGATATCTCGCACTTCGTACCCTGGTTTAAACGTTGTTGTCTAGTTTTTCGAGTGGCATCTCTCGTCGCCAGCTGAGCAGGTCATCTAGGAGAGCTTCTAAATGAGGGTTGCCGCCTAATCTGGCCACCTGGAATGTAACAAATGTATTAAGTTTATAATCAATTGGAAATCGTATCGTCGAAAAGTCTACTTTTGCGTTATCTTTTTATGCATAAACTAGCGGACCCAACAGACGTTGTCCTGCATATCCACTTAATGTATAAACAAAAATTCATTCAAATTAGTTCAGCTGTTTAGGATAAATAACCTAAACATCGACTGCAGCGCCATCTGCCGGGCTGATTTGTGAATCTAATCCATTGACAGATCCCCTTGAACACACACAAAAAATTTCATCAAAATCGGTCCAGTCGTTTGAGAGAAGTTCAGTGACATACACACTCACAGAAGAATTATATATATATATATATATATATATATATATATATATAAAGATACTATAAATGAATATGAAAAAAAATGTGAATACGATTCCAGATAGACCTTTAGGTCGTGGAACAAATGTGTAACGTACAATTTTATATTCATAAACATTCTCATAATACAGGAGAAAGTTCTAGAGTAGGGCAAAGTTCAAGTAAGGCTCAGAATTTTCCTCGTTGGCCGAGTGGTCGCAAGTGCGACTGCCGGGCAAGGGGTCTCGGGTTCGATTCCCGGGTCGGGCAAAATATTACTGGGTTTTTTAAAATTCTCAGTAGTAGCACGGAGTCTGGAATTGTGCCCGGTATATGGCAATAGGCTCACCCCCTATTACATGGGACTCATATCATAAATAGTGAAAAGTGGGTGTTACATTGTACAGTGGCATAATGTGCACCTCTGCCTAACCCTTCGGGGATAAAATGCGTGATGTTATGTATACACTCATAATACAGGAGAAAGTTCTAGACTGGAGCAAAGTTTAAGTAAGGCATAATATTTCATTTTAGTATTTTGAAAATAGAAATGAGTGACAATAAGTACGGTACCTCTCTCCTGGCCTCCTCGTCGAGTCCGTGCAATGTCTTCCGTGTGTATGCGAAGCTGCCGAGTCGCTCGAGTATAGTGATACAGTATCGCTTCACCTCCAAGTCACGGGTGCGCTGCCGAAGGATGTCTAAGGAACTCTAAGGAATATTACTGGCTTGTTTTGATGTAAACATAATATTATTATTGTCCTTTATTTTTTAACTCGTCGAGTACCGTATTTATAGACACAATTAAAGAACAATAGGTTGCGGTCACCGGTGACCGCTTGGTGTTTGACAGTTTAAATCCTCAAAACCCTAAGCCCAAAAGGTCGGAAACGCAACTTGCTACCTTGGTATCTCGTGGATAGGATGGACTGCACAGTTTGTACAATGGCTGGGCTGCCGTGCAACGTGTCGAACGTATCGCGAGTTCAGATTCCCGCACGGAACAACGCTTTGGGAGATCCATAAATTATTGTTTCTGGTCTGGGTGTCATTGTGTATGTGAATTTGTATGTTTGTAAACGCACCCACGACACAGGAGAAAATCCGAGTGTGGGACAACGTTTTTAAAAAAAAATTAAAAATAAATAGGGCGGCAAAAAATAGACTGATGATCTAATGGTAAGTAGTTGGCACCACCCACAGACACTTGCAACACCAACCTTAAGTAAGTTATCATAAAAATGTGCGTTTCTGACCTTCCGGCCCAATCGGAGGGTAATGGACGTCAAAAGTAATTTGATTTTTGTTCGAAAATGATAAGTTTTGTATATTGTAAAGGATACGAAGCACTTGGTTGTCCCCCTCAGGGTTGCGTATGGCGTGTATGATGGGGAAGCTGAACTTGCCCTCCGTCAGGTCCTCGCAGTAACTCTTGTTCTCGGTGTACTGAAACATTTTTGTTTATAATTTTTATGGACACAAAATTAAAAATTATCTACTACTATCACTTTCACACTAAAGTGAAAACTGTACATCGAATATTTTTTTTAAATAATGCTTGGGGCGTGATCTACAGTCGATACCGATACCAAAAATATGGTTTTTAGAATTTTTGTTTGTTTGTCGGTATGTATGTCCGGGATGAAATCAAAAAGTGCTGCATGGGTTTACTTCAAATTTTGCATGAATATTACTAACAAGTCGGGTCAACATATGGGCTACATATTATCATGCTATTCCACGGGGACGAAGTCGCGGGCTCAGCTAGTGATACAAAAGTCGGATTTAATTCCATATCCTGGCATTTTCTACCAGCCTAACATTATAATAGTAATTTGTATCTAGATGTTGCTTGGGACTTCGTCTGCGTGGAATATGATTCCTGTTTTATTCCATGGAAGCAAATAATCGGGATAAAAAGCATCCTTTTACCTAAGTCAGCCTCATACTCTGCCTGTATAAATTTCATCAAAATCCGTTCAGTAGTTTCAGTGCGATTGACGGACAAACATCCAAAACAAAGGAAGTTATGATAATACATGGATTACCCGGCTCGTGCTCATGGGACATGAGCCAGGACACACCTCCTAAATGAATAATATTTGAAGCTTATTATTATTGTAGACAGAGCCGTATTATCCATAAGGCAATCTAAGCAACTGTGTAGGGCGCCAGGTGTATAGAGGCGTGTGGTGATGTCGTAAGGGCCACCCGGGTCACGGTCACAGGCAGTGAAGGAACACCGCGGTGGTTTTAGCCGGTAAGAGTCCGGCACGCCCCACCGTCATCCCCACGACGTGTTAAGTCCACAAGGATTTCCATCGCGATAAAAAAAAGAAAAGTGTATAGAGGCACCGTGGGGTAAGCGTGCCTAATAATAATAATTAAGGGTGCCTATGAGACTTAAGGCGCTCTTTACCCTCTTTAGATGTTATCAGCTACTGATTGTAGTTGCTTACCTCCTGCAGCCTTAGGTTGCAGTAATCGTCCCTGATCTGGAAGTACAGTCCGAGGATGGCGGAGAGCTTGCTGAAGTCAGACTTATTGTCACTGAACAACTGCATCAGACGGATAGCCAACATGAACAGACCGCCCGTCTCTGTAACATTTACAACAATATTTTACATGTCAATATGGTCAGTAGAAAACTTGCTTTAGTTGTTGAGTAATTAATCTTATATCTTATATAAAGCGGAAGAGTTTGTTTTTTTGTTTGTTTGTTTGAACGCGCTAATCTCCGTAACTACAAGTCTGATTTGAATAATTCTTTTTGTGTTAGATAGTGCATTTATCGATGATGGCTATAGGCTATAAAACATCACGCTACGACCAATAGGAGCTGAGCAACGCGTGTAAAACCGCGCGGAAGTAGCTATTTATTAATGTAATTGCTGAACATGCCAGTTTTATTCTGGTTTACTTCTTTGGTTGGGCAAAGCATATTTTCAAGATATATCTTAGTATGAAAGAAAGTATAGCGTGTCGAGTGTCGTTAGGTTCCCCCGTAACACCACTGTACACACCACTGTACATCTTTATAAACACGTTATATTAAACAAAATAGTCTACTTTTGCATGGTGAATGCGTTTACAAACAAATAATAGGAATGATGACAGGGTATGAAAATTAAAAATCTAATTAGTCCGACAGTTAGGTAATGAAAAAATATTATACACGTATTTTTTCATTTTGTCGTATAAGAAAACAATACTTATATAAAACGAATCAAAGTTTAGAAGTGGGAGGTAGCTAGCTACGTCATTTTAGAGTACAAATCGTACTCAAAAGTGACGTCACGCGATATTTCAAATCAATATATCTTCGAAACTATTCGGTTAGGTAAGAAAATAAAAAATACATGTCTAATGTTTTTAAATAATCTACCAGACGGACATTAAAATAAAAATTAGTCATCTACCCTATTATGCTTTGTACAGGAATAGAAGTCGCGCGACAGCAGACAACCAGTTGATGCAGCAATCGTGCAGCCGGTTTATGAGTACGTAATGCGAGTATATTATGACACGTTACCGCGTTTAGCCCTCTGATTGGCTGGTTAACTTTGGGCAGGCCAATCGTAACGCCGAACGCCATAAACATGACGTAAACAAACTTCTATAACTTCTTAAACACTCTGTACTTTAGATACGTAACAGCATGGTAGTGAACATTACACAATATCTCACTTTTGATGGTCATCTCCTTGTACTCCTCCTCGGAGGGGCACTGGAAGTTGTCTCGCCAGTATATCTCGATGCCCTGCCCTCGGTGCAACTCTAGCAGTTGCTCTGTGTACACTGTGGTCGCCTAGAACAAAAGATGAGACACACTTTTTTATCATAATATACCCAACAAAAACATCCTAATGTAATCATGTGTTCGCATCAAGATACTGCTTAAGAAAACTGTTAATTCCGTTCTAAATAAGAAAATATATCTTTATCGAATGCTTACGTAGTTTCGGGAGATATAAAATCTATGAAAAGACGTCGGTAAAAATTAATAGATTGGAAATCAAGGAATACACTTCTTAGGCTAGGGCAAAATATAACAATATGTCTAACACATCCTGCCACATGGGATTCTTCTAATGATGATTAATCGCAACCTATTTTAGGACTCTTATCGTAATCGTCAACAAATGCTACTTAATATAAGGTTTAAGAATAAACATATTGTTTACCATAGGATGTCCTAGCTCTTGTGTCTTCTGTAGGGCTACAATCATGGTGTAGTTCGCCGCGTTGATGGTGCTGGCCACCCCATAGATGGAGTGCGCCACCGGGATACCGCGCCGGAGGATCGAGTTGTCTTGAATGTCGTCAATCCTGGATCATAGGAGAACCTCGTCAGTAGGGAGAATGGCTTGAAGATTTTGAGGGTGGGATTAGTACTAAGACTACTGAGTCTTAACCAGATTGGGATGAATGTCAGTATTTACACGAGTATCTGCCATCTGCCCTCTTCAAATTGCTAATGATAATACCTATTACATTTTTTGTTTAATGCTGTTTTTGTGCTTCTATTTTCTAACTGTAAATATACACGTTTTTGGGGCATATCATTCGGGTGGCTTGAGTTTGTTGCTTGTTTTTCTTTTATTGTTAAGTGCATTAACTAACTGTTAATCCGTCAATTGGCTATGACACCTGAAGATAAGAGATATTTTATTGTTCTTTTGGCATTGGAAAACATATTTTAACTACTGATCTTCAACTAAATTTTCACCAAGAATTTCGATAGAGTAACCTACAAGAAGTGTCTCAATATCGATGGAAGTAAGGCTACAAGGAAAAAGTTCCATGGCCGATCACGTCACCACTATCCATCAGTAGAAGCTTTTAGTCGAAACTATCAATAAAAAATTTAATATATTACGCCTACGACTTCTTGGAATGGCTTGCAGGCATATGTATGTAGTATTTTTATGAGGAGTGTGTTTCGGCCAACTGTGCCATTTGTCTCAACGTATGGCACGTAATTCCCAATGACTCAGAGTTTATTTTAGCGATGCCACTAAATACCTCCATTAACAAGATCGCAGATTGGGAATACCATGTAATGAATTCGCAGTCAGTTCCCGCAATACACTGAATTACCCTTCCTAGTAAGTAGGTAGTAAATATTGTGTTATATTGATATATCAAACGAAACATCTAATCTAAATTGCATAGGACAATGTCGTTTGAAACTGTTAGTTGGGACTTTGAAATCGTTACCTATCTTCGTTCATTGTTATCTCAACTGTTGTGTACCTACTTTACTTGTTTACCGTAACACAGCAGTTTAATAATCTTCTAGGTAGATTTAAAACTAGGTACTACTTAAATATAATTAATAAATAGCTAAATTGTTGAGGAGCTAGGTAAATAATTAACTTTTCGTTTGTTTACGTTACGTGTTTATCTCTTATTATTTGATTCGAATTTATCGAACAAAGATGCCTCCTTCTTTTAAGATATTTTACATTCAACAAATTGTAGTTTTTACCCCCGTAGACTGTGTAAACCATTAAAATATAGGTAGGTACCTGTCGGAAAAATAGTCTGAAGCTTTATAAACAAAAAATATTCCACTTTATATAATATGTATAAGTGACTTTAATAAATGTAATCATGTTTAACGTATCTATTTCATATGGTAGGTAAGCACACTTCTAAGATATGAGTCACGACAAAAACCTTAGATTTCTTTTTATTGTTATTAGCAATCAATATGTCATCGTTACAGTACATTTTTTAACTATCATGTTTTATCTTTAAAAGCCAAGAGTAATTCATTATACCTGTTCATATCAAGATAATTGTTACAATAACATGGTCAATGTCGATCGAGTATTATTTAATTAATTTTCCTGGTCAACTGTCTCATCGGTCCAGGTGGCAAGGACGACAAAGATCGTAAGTTTTGATTAAATTCTGAGAACATGAGTCCCATATATGGTGTTGCAAAGTAAGTATTATTTGAGGTAAAAATAATACCTAATTATCTACTTGATTGGCTACCTAAATGACTACGATTGATGCAGTTCCTGGGCAACGGGCTGCTGCGCTACGTGTCGCGGGTTCGATTCCTGCATGGTACATCTCTCACATTTCGGGACATCGATCTCTTTGTGTGTGATGCGTGTAACGCACTTGTACCTAACTTCTCTGATGTTGTGATTGCACAAATCACCTGATAGCAACTTAGCAACAGCTTATAAATGTCCACTGCTGAGCAAAGCCTCTTCTCAAACGGAGAAGGTTTGAACATTAATCACCACGCTTGCAGGTTAACGATTTCAAACTTATAATTAGAAATAACCCCAGGTTTCCTCACGATGTTTTCCTTCACCGTTGGTCAGTGGTGTCTAAATAATCTTAGAAAGTATTTAATATTATAACTCTGAAAAAGTCACACTCGCTTGCCGTTGGTAGGTTTCGAACCTGCACCCTCGTGCATGAGCACGCCATGTTTGCCCGCCTATCTCATAAAAAGCCTTTGCCTTTTAACAGACATGACGATATTCGTGTTATGTTTAGAATTGTGAGCAGTAGTTAATAACAGCAATGAATTGTTTTGAGATGAGCCCGTGAGATATTAGGTATTTTATTTGTCCTCCATATAAAGTTCGCGCAGCTAGTAGCTACTAGCAAACCACCTTTATCGTGACAATGAATGTCACCTCTACCTAATTGATTAATTTAAACGTGTACCAACAGGCGACAACATTTAATCATAATCATTCTTATTAATAACATTTTGGCGTACACATAATATTAGGAAACAATTTAATGGCCCAACGGCATAGGCAAACTGCAGATGCGTATTAACCCGATACAAATAGTTGCTGTGAATAGAATACAATAATAAAAACATTAACGTATACATTTGTAAAACCTCATTTTATAAAAATTCGATTTTGAGATTGATTCATGAATGATAGCACAAGTTGAAACCTTAGTGGATTTTGCTTGCCATTTTAAATGGATATACCTACCTGTACCAATTGTAAATACGAGAAATAAAAAAAAATACACTAGTACTAGTACAATTTTAACATAACATAACACATAACATCACGCCTTTTATCCCCGAAGGGGTAGGGTAAGCCTATAGAGTGTGTAAAACTCGAAAAACACAATAATACTTTGTCCAATTCAGACGTCGAACATGAGACCGTGCAAATTACACTAACTGAGTCAACTAGGTTTTCACAGTTATAATAATTAAGGTCAATTTAATTTGTTTAGTTTATGTCTAACGATATAATTAACGATGCTGGCTAAAGTAAACAAAACATTAACATTGCATTTATTTATTCATATAGGTACCTATTAGTATACATTAAAAGGCAATGAAAATAGCTTATCTCAATGACCGAGGACGAATATGCATATCTAGTATGGTTAGGAAATATTTTGTAGTTACGTACTTAGATCGAAAGACTTTTAGTTAACGGTCGTTTTAAATTACCCATTTTTAGATACGAAGTCCGAGTATATCCTTACTATCCTTGCTTCTTCCTTCTTACTAATATTATAAATCGGAAAGTGAGTTTGTTTGTTTGTTCCGCTTTCACGCCGTAACTACTAAATCGATTGCTTTGAATTTTTGCAGACGTAAAGTTAGAAGTCCGGATTAAATAATAGGGTACTTTTATCCCGGAAAAATGTGATATTTCCGAGGGAAAACAAAAGTATTGGTATAGATGGCGCTGTGTGTATTGGTATATTATTATGTCACAGGCTACTTTTTATCCTTTTGTGACGCGAGCGAAGCCGCGGGTAAAAGCTAGTACTTTTATATGCGTAAAATGTAAGCACTTACGCATCCGCTTTGCTCTTTCATCTTTTTGCTTCATAGCATCGGGAATTTTTGTGATCAATTTACACAGTTGAGTCACATTGTTAGGCAACGATGCCAAATCCAATATAGTTTCATAGACGCTAGATTTTTATACTCTTACGCGAATTCTTTGAACAACTACACAGGCTGAATGACTGATAATTAGGTACATTATCTTTCATAATTTTGTTCTCGTAAGGAATGGAAATATCGGATCGTAAACCTTATTTAGTACGGTACTTAAATAGAATTTTCAAAGGTATTGCGATTTCGCGTTTTTAGATAAATCATAGAATAGCAAATTCAAATATTGTCGTTATAATTCATGGCCGCTCTTAAATGTAATGGCGTGAAATAATAGCTTGCAGACGAGCGCACCATGAGCATTTAAGTACCTAAGACCTAACTCGGTTTAGAACGCATAGCCATATTTGTGAAAATTATTTTTGTATGGTAGGTACCTTTTAATAATAAAATATTGTGTTGCTATCGTCCATGCCCATGGACCTCTCCAGTTGTGTCTCTGAAGGTTCCGGTAAATTTCCGGGTCGCCTTAAAATATTAACAGAAAATCCCATTCGGTATCTACAATACTCATACATACCCTATCGCCCATCACACTCTTAGTGACAGACAAACAAAACTCATTTATTTTTCCACATTCATCAACCATACATATTCAGACAATATGCCAGAATGTCTTTCGTTCGTAAATCTTATCCCATCAATCCCTTTTAACCCAGCCAATGACCAAAAGATAAAGTTCCCCTATAAAGCATAGGTACCACTATCAACCCACCAATGACCACACCCAGCAGGACAATAGTGACCAATCACCGAGTAACAAATTAAATAAAGTTAAAACTCACGCGTTAAAGAAAGTTATGTCAATCTTGTCCTGCTGAACGGGTGGTAGCCTGTGTTTTACGCTGCAACATTATAGTAAGGCGCCAATAAGCTAGTGGTATGCGCGTGCAAAATGAAAGTGTCAATGAGAGTTAGAATAGGTACCAAAAACATCATCATCAGTTATTATGTTTATAGTTCTCCTAAAACCTACAGTAGTTTACACCCACTTTTCGTTAGTTGTCATGCATTTCATGCATTAGGTCAGCCGTATTATCCTTAAAGCAAACTAGCGCACTAGGCTACTACTTCAACTAGGCAAGTTGGCGCCTAGGGCGCCAGGTTCTAGTACAGAGGACTTTAGACTGCACGGTTGGTGCGGTGGCTGGGCAACCGGCTGCCGTGCAACGTGTCGCGGGTTCGATTCCCGCACGGGACAACACTTTGTGTGATCCACAAATTGTTGTTTCGGGTCTGGCTGTCATTGTGTATGTGAACTTGTATGTTTGTAAACGCACCCACGACACAGGAGAAAATCCTAGTGTGGGGCAACGTTTTATTTTAAGAAAGAAAGAAAGAAAGAAAGAGGGGCGCCGCGAGACGCGTATACCGAACCATCCAAAGAGTGGCAGCTGCGCCAAAAAAAATTAGGGTCGCACATTACTATGTGCTTGTATAGGGCGCTCTCTGAATTTACTCCGCCTCTGCAAAAGGGGGCGTTGGCTAGAGTTGGGGAATAATATACAAATAATAGTTTAGCAGCCTTTTTGGTTAACTGTAGTATGCTACGACGGTGTTTCAGTAATTTGTCTAGTACCTATAGCTTTGTTGCAACAAGAATTTATTATCCGTAGGAAATATATTTTGATGATGAATATAATACTTACACTGCGTAATATGTTTGACATGTTGTCATTGCATAGATATTATATTCAAACAGCTAAATATAAACAGATAAATAAAGAGGAAGGATACAGTGATAATATAATTTTTACTCTATTGTGACATGGTTGATTTGTTTATTTATTTATCATTTATGTACTACACACACAAAACAAAGAACAACACATTAGTTGATTAGTTTTAGATAACAACTCGTCCCGATAGTGACAAGTATTGCTCACTCTTAATTATATTTACAATGTATTAATATAAAACAGAAGGACTACAATAGAAGTACAAACGTCTTTCCTCAAATGTCCTTGAGGCTATTGTAGTAAGAACAAGGTGTCAAAGGAATAACAAATAGAATTCTTCAAAATAACTGGAACAAGTCAATACCAAACAATAGTGATGAATGAATTGTACATACACTGCATACAAATTACATTATCACATTATATCATTTGTAAAGAAACTGAATATTTGAATAAATTATATGTATACTGTTTTCCTCAAACAATGTCTCGCATATTATTTTTAAGATATTCTATTTTTTAATGTTTAAAATTTTTACTGTTTTTTGTTGTTTGTGTAAGTCGTGTTTGAACTACAGGTCAGGTGAAGAATTATTTAAATTATTTTAATTCTCAACAACATCACATTCTGAAGAAGTGCCTAGTTTACTACCCGATGATGTCAATGCAAGTAATTATTCTATAATACTAATTTACATTTTTGAAACACTTCCTTTGAATCTTGATAACACATTTAATGAATGGAAAATTTGGCACAACTGCCAGAAATAAATAGTCATGTGGATAGGTCAAATACATAAAAATAGGTTCGTAAGAAACCAGTTTTTTTGTATAACAATACTTTAAACTTTCTTTAGTAGATTGACACTAAATAATATTGGTTCTATTTTTAGTTAATGTTTCATGATTCAGTTTAGTTTAAGCTGAATAAAGTAAGAAAAATCTTTTTAATCTTATGTCTATTTGGAAATAATAAAGTAAGCTCCAACATTTTTTTTGCCTAAGTACTTAAATATTGAAGTGATAAGACCTTTTTTACACAGAGTTATTGTAAGTAGCTTGCATCATGGATTTAAGTTATTTCATCATAATAATTGAATGGTAAGGACTTACAGTAAGCTGGAGTTGTGAAGCATTTGCACAATCTCTCCCACAGCTCGCAGCTTCTCATCAGAGATCTTCAGCCAGTAGTTGAATGCGGAAGCAAGCTTCTGTCTTATCTGCTTGCCTGGTACTTGTTGGATGTATGTGTATGGCATTAATATTTTCTGGAAATAATATTGACAGTGATAACAAAGTTATGATGGAGTACAGTACTGGATTCATATTACAATACACTATATTAGGTACCAATACTAAAAACTTTATCACTCAATTATTCAATTTATTTTTTCTAATTTTTATTTTTTAGGCAATTTCATTTGTAATTTATACTTCTTTTATCACAATTCCTTAAATATTATCATTTACTTAATCATGAATGAGGAAAACAAAGAAATTAATCCAAATGAAAACTTTCATGAAGCAAATATTTTACCATGACTAGAGATTTAAAGTACAACATTCCTAATCCTGGCCACTATGTTTTGAAAATATTTTTATAGAAAAATGAACGTCCCACTCATTCAGCTATAAATACAAATACATGTAGCAGTCATCAACTCGCAGTTTGGCGCATTGCGTCATTTTAATTATTTCGTTAATTCCTTTGGCCCTACTGTAACATACTTATCTCTAAATATTTGATCTGATCCAATACACATGCAAAATAACAAAGGAAATCCAACTAAATACATTTTTATACACGACTGATAAAGGCGGCAAACAAAGTAAATGAAAATTTGTGTGCACAATAAAAAGACTTAACAATATTTACCTCATCTTGGGCGCTATCACCATCGTTTGTTTTTACTTTCGACATTTTAATGATTGTTTAATTAATACTCCAACTAATTTCTAAACCAGAACTGTATCACTGCACCGATCGATTTTGCTATGACAGAATTACTTTGACACTTTGTCACACATTGACAGAGATAGAGACAACACAACCAGCTGACAGAACGATCGAAAAACAAATAAATGCGTTCCTTTACCGCATCGTTTTATTAACAGCGCAGTGATACCGGGCGTAGTACCGTTTGCGTTGGTATTTATTTATTTATGTGGATTTCCTTACGTTGTTGTTTATTGCTTTTTTGGAGAAAACATTTCGCTCTTATCTAAATACAATAATAATAAAAAATGTTTAACCGAAAAGAAAAGATTATTGCGATTGGTAAATAAATTCTTTTCTTACCCTTTATTATTAGAATAAACTCCATTTATCCATTAGTATAATTCAGTGACAGTGTGTTTACCATGTGCCATATTATTTCAACGTAAAAAGTAATTTAGATTAACACGCAGAATACGAACATTTATTGTGTTTAACTACTGCTTATATTTTATAACTTTAGAAGTTACTATAAAATCATGTATGCACTTGTTACGAACGAACATGCATAATTATACACAGCAAAATTGCATTATTCGATTCGAAAAGGATAATAAAAATTGCAATTTTCTTGGAATTTCCTTTTTAGTTATTTTTCTTCAACCTGTGACTAAGGATACCGAAAATTTTATTTAAATCCATAGAATTAACATACAACACTGGCGGTTGCTGTCAAGGTTTTTTCTTCAGTTTTCTTTCTGACATTCCAAATATTTTTCTTGACTGTTGTGTTGATGATTTATTTCCAAACAAATATTTATAGGAAACTATTGCGTACAACAATTGGAAATTATACGAATGCAAAAAATTATAATCGAGAAAACAAGCATGAGAATGGAAAATTTTATTGTTTTTAATTAGTTTTGATTATGTCTGCTCGAAACTATTTATCGGCACGGGAGAAAAATATAAGTAAACTAATCGATTGTTTGCCAAATATTAACCAACAGAAATTCGGTTATCGCTCGGGGCAGGAGCTGCCGCCCTTGTCAGCAAATACGAGTAGTTTTGTGAACCGAAATTTGAATTATTCGTTTGAGGTGCAACCTTACATGGTGAACAGTCTGGAGAGGGCCGGGACACCGTTTTCAGACTTTTTCTCGGAAAGCGAGACAGGTACGTTATGTTTCCTCTATGTTAAAACTATTACGAGGGCATATAAGTTTGTAAGAGTCATACAAAAGTAATGACCAACTCATAAATTAAAAGAAAAGGTGTAATTTTAATTGAATGTCTTTCAATTAGGTATTATTTCAAATAATTGAATTTTACATGCTCAAGGATGAGTCAAAAAGTCAAGACTTTTTAATCTTAATTATAATTGATAAAACAAGACTAAAAATATATATACACCTAGTTATAAAAGACCTATAGACACCTAGTTATAAAAGTATATAGTGCCGAATGATGCAGAACCTCAGCACTGGGAATGCAATCCTGCCATTTGATGTTAAGAATGGATCTTAGATATCTCAAGTAAAACGTGTTTCTTTATGTGTGATTTATATAGACACCAAGTCTCTAAGCCCTATAAAGTATAGGCAAGATCAGTTTTAAGACGATCAGATACATTAGACATAAAGTGCTAAATACATAAAGACAGACCTAAAACTTCCTATACTTACACATACAACTCAACTCTAGTTGTGATCAGATTTTCAAAACTAAATTCGGTCTGGCCAGTCACATGAGGGCACACGACAGGAGATAGCTATTAAGGGTCGCCTTTACCGAAATTGGTAAGGAGGACTATATAAAAGTATAAAATATGTAATAGTGTTCTGTCCTTTAAGAATTCTATTGAACATTGAAGACATAGTAACAGAATAGTATGTGTTTGCATATTATAGCTATAGAGTTAAACTTAATGTTTTACGTTCTGGAAAATTACCAATTCATGAATTTCGAAATATTATTATTATATCTTTGAGAGTTCTATTCTCGATGGTTTATTACTTCCTCAACATGCAGAGAAGATCATCTGCGCAAGGCAACAAGGAAAAGCTTTACATTAGATGAAAATGAGTATTAAATATTTCAGGAACTCCAGATTTCCACAGCGAGGAGAGTGACAGCAGTTCTGGGTCTGCACTGCGCCGCAGCACAGCTGAAGCTACCAAGACATTAGCTGCAGAGTGGGATCAGATTGAGAGGACTCTGTACAATGAAGACGGGGAGAAGAGCCAACGGCCGCAGATTGTCGATGAGTGCAAGCAGTGGAGACAGCTGCACCCACAACTCAGGTTCGACATTATCTACAAATATTTTGCACGAGCAGATGGATCACCTGATGATAAGCAATCGCCGCCGCCCATGGACACTCGAAACACCAAGGCGTTACAAGTGCGTTTCCGGCCTTTTGGGAATAGGGAATTTGGGGATTGTGGAGGATTCGAGAATTCGGGGTCTAGGGAGGGGGTAATTGGGCCTCCGGTAACCTCACTCACACGACGAAACACAACGCAAGTGTTCTTTCACGTCGATTTTCTGTGACGCCGTGGTATCACTCCGGTCGAGCCGGCCCATTCGTGCGGAAGCAAGGCTCTCCCACACTTAGGAAGGATTATTTATTATATATACATAGGAAGTATTAGTACAAGCTTAATTTTTTTTTTCAATATTTCATACTGATAGGGCATTTATTGCGAAAATACCAATATTATACTAACTTAATACTTATATATAAAGCTGAAAAGTTTGTCTGTTAGTTTCAACACACTAATTTCAGGAACTACAGGTCCGATTTGAAAATTCTTTTTGTGTTGATTAGTACTTAAACTGTCAAACACCGCGAGGACACCGGTGACCGCAACCGGTTCTTTAATTGTGTCTATAATGACGGTACTCAAAGAGTTAATATACAGCTACTCGTGCACGCTTTCACCTGATGCGAGCCGAGACTCCTATTAATTGTAGCATTTTTTATAGTTTAATGTAGCGTTTCTCGATAAATGGATTATCCAACTCAAAAAGAATTAAGAAAAGAATTAAAGAATTAAAAAAATAAGTCATTAATTAGTTGCCTTTACATCTTATAATAGTAGAACTTTTTATTTTAATAAAACGTTGCCTCATTCTGTAATTTTCTCCTGTGTCGTGGGTGCGTTTACAAACATACAAGTTCACACACACAATATGACGACACCCATACCCGGAACAACAATCTGTGGATCACACAAAGAGTGGTTCCGTGCAGGAATCGAAACCGTGACACGTTGCGCGGCAGCGACGGCAACTCCCAGCCACCGTGCCAATCGTGCAGTCAACTTGATACCATTAGAGTCAAAAGTCAACAACAGAACTTCAGTCCATAATTAAGTGTTCTGTTCAAGTGACATTCAATGAAACCCATTTTACGATTTGTGTTAATTATTATCATAATTATTGGCTCATATACTCTTTGTAGGCAGACGTTTAGTTTTAAACTTGTGAATGTTAACAGGAAAATCCCACTTTTTATACTTGATAGAAACTAGATTGTAACAATGGGCCTCGTTAGTTTTAACATTCGATCAATAGAGCGATTAATATTTAATTCACCCCTCAAGTAGGTGGTGGTCGTAATTTTAAATGGAGTTCATTAGGTCAAGGTGTCGCCACCAAGTTATCGTGTTGCGCAATGACTGGCCCATGCCCATTGCCCACGTGCCACTATGGAAATGAGTAAAAATACTGTAATAACGAAAACGTGACGCTCATTCCCATACTTTACATATTTGAGAGTTTCAGAACAAAATTTTATAAAATAATGTGGCCAAGGCCGCCATTTCGGAGAAAATAATTCGTACTTAGCATACATTTCCAACAATTCATTCCTTTAAAGCCCAGACTTTGTCGTGATTAATAATAGTTGCCATTAAACCTTTGACACGTTGAAACCAACATGAATCCTGCTTTCCGTATATTTAATTTTTCAAGCGGATTTTCGTGGATATTTTAAATTAGAAGTAATACTTAGTAATATAAGACTAGATCGTCATTGACTTGTACATACTCATTGTAAAAAATATTGTGTAAATAACATTGTGAGCCAGTGTTTTGTGTATACTTCGGTATGTACATTTGTACGAGTGTATGTAATTACTTTCCTGTGTTGTCGTACAAATAAAAAGGCCGACCGTGACACTTTTATAGTGATACGATATAATAACAGACGAGTTGACCTTCAAGATATAAATATTTGAATAGAATTTATTGATTTTCAGGATCGTCGGCAAGGCAATACAATTGCCCGAAAAGCGTTTGTCATACAGACAGATGGAACACGACGAGGTCATCGCTATGCACTACAGCGACTACGAGGAGTTTAGCGAGAGCGAGGAGCGTCTCTCGCAGAGCTCCACCGACGTCACGCCGCAGAACTCGCCGCGTGTCTCCATCGAGGATCTGGGCGAACACAGGCTGTCCCGGGAAAAGGTATCCTTCTATCCAATGTATAATGACGAAACTGATTTACCCGACGCGTTCTGCTCTCTGCTCCAAATCACACCGATACAAATTCATAGCCCCTATAGAAAGAGACAGAATCCCTCCATTCTGAGGTCTGAACTAGCATCTTCCCGGTGGATGAGGAATCCTAGGCCTGATTCATCTTTAAATTGTGATAGAAATAGTGCTAAGTCTTTTGTTTCGTTGGATACTAGAAATTATGGAAATATGGCGTTGAGCGCGTCGGAAAGAAACGTGTTAATGAATAATAGAGTTGTTACTGCAAGGCATAGAGACTTGGCCAGATTAGAACCTATATGCACGCCGGAGATACCGCAGAGCGATGTCACTCGGCTGCCGAATGGTATTACATCTCAATATAACATTAGGAAGGTCTCATTGCCGCCTTTGCTTTTAGAAGAAGAGAAGAAAAAAGTGACTGTCGGTTCTGCTAAGAAACACAATCTTAGAACTAGGAAGTCTGTTTCTAGAGGGACGTTTCAGTTGGACAGGGTGAAACATAATTGACATGTCATTTCAAGAACTAATTAAGTTTGTAATTAATTAACATCTAATTGTGGTTGGAGAGCATTGCTCGAAGCCTGTTACCAACACCGACCTTGCAAAGTTATTAGATAAAATACCAATGAGATGAATGTTGCTCATTTTATGTTAACGACTTAGGACCTATAAAAGATTGTGATTTATAAGTAGAATTTACAGTATTACCATCAACAGAGGGCTAGGGTACTCTAGAACTTGAAAACTTGTGGCATATCATAACAGGTTGGTGCATTGCCTCTCGGTTGTTGTATAACTACGGACAAATTTAACTGAAAGTAGGTACATACGCCAGCAGGACAATCTATACCTTTCATTAAAATCCTTTAGAATTTCAACTTTAATATTTTGATGTAAAGTCGAAAATACCCTGCTATATATAACCCTGCTGGTTTCTGAATCTCCGCATCAAATCTACTCGCCCTTGATGTGAGTGTTTAGTTGAATTTATTTAATCCTTTACCAGATGATACCATAATAACGAGGGCAGGTCTTTATACTACGGGTTTAAAATCATGTTCTGACAATTGTTGCCTTATGTCCGTTTCCGCTTGAAGTGAATCTAAACGCCTGGAGTATTTAGTCAATATTTTTGGTGTGATAATAATAGGGTAGTTTCCTAAATTTTTTTTTAATGTCCGTCTATTAGACACGTATTTTTTCTTTTCTCACGAAATTAAATACTTTCGACGATATATTACCTTGAAATATTGTGTGACGTCACAGCGTGCCACATTTTGTAGCACGTTATTACGTAACGACCTCCCACTGCTAAACTTAGCGCCCTTTTATCTAAGTATTGCAACTTAATACGAGAAAATAATAAACTACGTGTCTAATATTTTTTCATTATCTGACTGACGGACTAATTAGATTTTTAATTTTGATACCCTGGGAACTACCCAATTATTTGGCAGCAAGATTGTGTAACGTTAAATGCACGACTTAAGCTATGTCCATAGCGCGAGGTATGTCTTATTTAGAGCTTGTGTACTGTTTGAAGGCCACGTAATGACACAAAATATTGTACATAAATACAAAGTTCACTATTTTTGTAATAATCTCACTAGCGGGAGGTAAGTTTGAGGTTTACTTAAGTTATTATTAATTTCTAGTCCATTTACTAGTCTTTAGAGAGTTCAAATGTATTTGTGATTCATTCTTGTGTTGTAAAGCACTATTTTTCGAATGTAAATACATAATTTTGTTAACAGTTTCGGTTACTGCGATAAATGCTACGTCACATTACGAATATATATTTTTTTTACAAAATACTTGTGGTTTTTTTTTCACTTTGTGTCTTACCCACCTGTCTCCTGGTTTCTTGTCCTCCTGAAAGTTGTCCTTTTTAGTTTTAGATCTTCTCAAATATATGACAGAGTAATCCCAGTGATTTTGTCGTTGTACTTTGGCAGGTGACTAAGATTGAGGGTAGAAGTAAAACAAATATTCAAATACAAATACAGAATTTATTTTGATATTTACATTATTTGCATTTTATTAACAATCAACATCAACAATATTAAATAATTTGTTTTTGTGGTGTGATACATTTCGAACAGTCTGATAACATTACATAGCCCGTGAGTGGACACCATTTTGTTTAGGTAGGTGCACAAAATGGCGGCCGGGTGCATGGGAAATGTAACATCATTGTCATATGGTGGTTTGTAAATGGTTAACTAGAAGCGGTGAAACATGGAGTTATTATGCTGAGAATTTGAGCAACTGCGGAGAAAGCTGTGAGCTTGAATTTTGGGTTGCCATTTCAAAATTTTAAACCGATCCAAATTGTATACTTTTAAATGTTATTTAAATAATTAGATGTAATTTAGAGAATTCAGTTTTTTGTTGAGACTGAAAGGAAAATACGCTTTTAGATTTAGAATTTATTTCACTTGGCAACCCGTTGTGTCGAGGCGTCTTTCGCGCCAAGTTGATCGAAACGTTTGGTTTTATTTGGCACTGTGTAGGATGCATGTAATAGTAGTCATTATGTCAGTACTAGACTGTTGGATACTTGTTCTGTCTGTCATGTTATGCAAGTTCAAGTGATCTATAAAAATAAGAAGCATATGCATAACTACTTATTTAGGAATATCTGTTTTATACTTATGGTTTACGGAGATACCGATCTAGCATACTTGTTGCATAGTAACTATATCATGCATGAATATACAGTGCCAAAATAATACAGGCCCAATTATCAGGGATCAACAAGGTTTGGTTCATATTCAAACCGTATGCCCGAACAAAGGTTCAAATGGAAACCAATCTGATAAATGGACAGAGAAACGTAGTTGGATAGCAGCAGACTCGTTGCGACAGAGCAATCAGTTATGTTGCTATTTAATATCTTCATTTACACAATATAAATTTAAATTGTTACAATATTTTATCTCACAGCCATCATTAATATATTGATACTACTTTAATAAGAGAGGACTAGTGTAACAACACGTTAGATGGCGACAGCTTACAAAAAGGGTCTAGCGAACATTCGTTATAGAGCGTAAGATTTATATATACGTATATATAATACATGAAAAATTCACCTTGTCCGTTCTAAAAACGATAACAACCTCAAGCTATTAGCAATAGTCAACAATGTTGTTAATTCTAGAATTTAATGCACACAGAACATGGATTTACTAAGTACGCTTAGTAGGCATTTTTTTAGTTAGTGTTTTTGTATAATTATCGATCTAGTAAATGATTTCGTAGATTTTAAGATATCGTTGAATCGTAGAGAGAAATTTCGGGGGCGGAAATATGTATGTATCTTAATTATATTCGTCTCGCGTCGTGATACGAAAGCGCGTGTCCACTGATCTGTTCAAATAAGTCAGTTCTACATAAAATATTGCTTTCAAAATTGTTGCTGATTACCTAATATGTTTTGTAAGCACCTATGTTTAATTAATAGACCTTTATGAACCTGTAGTGGGCCATCATAATGCAAAATGGGCACACCCCCCATATATATATATAGAGAGAGAAGTTGTGCCCCTAGAAATGATAACATGAGTCAGACTTACTTCTATACAACAATATACAATTCAGTGGACATATGCTTTGTTATGTTATATTTAACTACAACTATTAGATATAGTTTTCCTGTCATTTGTCAACATCCGATAGGTAATTTATACTAATCCGAAGAGCTAAGACGATTAGATCACCATCACTACATACTTGCGCACGTCACATGGTCGCATCGATCTGAGTTTAGTAAAAATATGGAGCAACAACTTAACAGCGGTAAACTTGTAATTATTAATAGACAGGTACGTGGTCACACAGGGTGAATTAAAATATTGACAGCAACATCGAACTTCCCAATGTTTAATTTATTTCATAAGTAACAGCCGCTTACGTTCAATAAATCTTGTATCGTCAATCAATGTAATATTTTAATTTACGCCCGGCTAATAAACAATAGGAAGGAGATCGCACGGAGGTCTGTGGACCCCCCACATACGGCCTCTAGTATCACCTAGCAACAAGTTCCGAGGACATGCACACATTGCATAAACAATAATGGTAACATTAAACGTCAGGCAAACACACGCAGGAGGACTCAGCTATATTCTCTCTCGTTAAGGCGATTATACAATTTTAAACACTATTTTTATTTTTTAAATTGCACACTGACCCACCTCTATAAACTTTTAATTGCGATAAATATATTGTAATGCTGTATAAAAATATTAAAGGAAAAATCGTCATTTAATATTAATACTTATTTAACATTCATATTTTAATCCCAAATCAATAGCGTGTATTTTACATTTTTACAATGAGACGTCCGAACTCTATACGTAACTAGCATACAGTGACATCGAAGCCTAATTCACAACAAACTACACACGATAGTATTTGAATATAAACGTTTTAATGTAACCGTAGCCTTCTATTTTAATGCAAAGGAGACGTATATTGAAAAATTCTTATGTAACATACAAAATTACATTTGACTATTTACAACATTCTAGCTAAAAACTTTAAAAATTGAGTGTCGAATGCAGCTCGCGGCGCGCGGCGCGCGGCGGTACTCTAAATATTAGGTACCTAGTTTGGCTAGGGCTCCATGCATAGGTCACTACTTACCGATATATCAAGCTCAAATTACGACTAACCCACTAGACTCGGCTGTGTGCGGTGTCGGTACCTCGGCCGGCCCTCGCCCTGCCAGGCCTGGCTCGGCCGAATAAGCCAATATCATCATATAATTTTATATTTTGGACAGACCGATTAGTTTAATTACATAAATAATATTCTATCGTGCACAACCATCTCATAACTTTACAATTTTCTTAACGCCCGGTGGTTTATGTGTAATAAATTAGATACAATTGTTTCTAAGCCTTCGCACAGGATACACCGTCTCTTGCGCAGGCACAGGTACATCGTGCGGGTGTGGTACTTACATGCGTACTCCGCTTTATATTAATACACTTTACACGTTAAACATTAAAGTTGAAGGAATGTTCGTTCACTCAGGGCCTCGTTTTTGTACTTTTTCGTTGGGGTACTTTGCTCTATGGGTAACGTAGTCACTTTACAAAAATATGGCAGTATGTTTGCATTCAATTCCTTTACGAACTAGGGTAGCTGTGCTATTTCCGTGGTTGGACCGAAATGAGCACAGGTTATACTCAGGACTAACACATGTTCGGATACTCGTAGAGCGCATACGTTGTAACATTCAAGAAGACACATTCGAATGTTCGTGACAACTTTACACATTATCCTATGTACTGTAATTAAGGCCGGTTTTGCCTAGTCTATTCGAATGAAATGATATCTATATGAGTGTGATAAAGATAACTATGTACAGGATGTTTGATAAAACTTTAAATACTTTCAAATATACTTACTATCAGTAAAATTGAGGTATTTATTAATTATTAGGTAATAATATAAACATTAGTGCTGTTGCGTGCGTGCGACGCGTAGCGGACTTGTGGGGTACACGTATCGTAGGTTCGTCATTCATCAAACATCTTGTATGTTAGTAGTAATTATTGCGTTACGTTGTATTACGTACTAGTCGAGGTACTGTAATGATTCTAACTGGTGAGGCAATGTTAACTAATGCCTAATAAATTCTAAAAAAAGGACCTCTAACCAACTGCACTGCCGAATGCTGTCTGAACGTTGGTGAGCGCGAGGAGGAGTGCAGCCGGCTACGGTATCTTATCTAATACAATCAACATAGTAAACTATGAGAGTCCACAATCGTCAAAGCACCCGGAGTTAACACTAAATACATCGCAGGCTTCAGAAGCCTCTCTATTTTAACAACGATTCGAAAATAATATCACACATTTACAGCAAAATTACACTTCGCACTCGGTGTCCTCGCAAACAAAAAACCATCTTCGAAGTTGAACTAATCTCGCAATGGCATCGTTTTGTAGTTATATTAATTGTTTCAGTTCATTGATATTTATGTGCAGCGCCATCCGTATATCACGTCCACTTTGACAATCCCCCCGCCAAATATTAGGAAAAACATAAAAGAAAATAAAAAGAAAAAAAATAGCATAATATAATTTTATTAAAATAAAAATAAAACAAAAAACGTGGTACTATAAGGTGAGGCTGGAAGTTACTATGTTCATATAACAGTTGAAAATACTTTTATGCAGATTTCAAGGTGAAATAACGCGTCAACTTGGGTAGATTCGTTCTCTCTCAACTGTCTGAAAGGTTACGTGGAAGTACGATTCTGCATGAAAATATTCAACGGTGTCTAACCTTAGATTATATAAAAATGTAATAAAAATAGAAGATAAACAATGAGCAATGGAACTGTATGCAGACTACTACCATACGTGCACTTTTGAATATGGCAGAGTGTCTTATAACTAAATAATGAATTCAATGTGAACCCATGGAAAAAATTAAACATCTAAAAACTTAAACAATAGTGACTAAATAACTTGGTACAATCACAAAGTATTGATGATGATGCGATGTGCTTAACAATCAGTCGATGAATAACATTAAATGCTATAATATGTCTATATTTCAGCTCTATAAGTAGCACTTAATTACGTGAAACGTGACAGAAAAAAAACTACTGAATAAGGAATGGATATTCTAAGAAAAGCGATAGCCTACACCTATGTCCATATACACGAGATGTTGTCATGCAATTAAAAGTTTAAAAGGTTCCTCTCGTTGAGCATTGCTTACAATTACTTGAAGAGCCTTCAGGAAACAAGAAGTTGAAGATATATTTGAAAGAAAGAAGACTAGACAAACTGTCGCGTTAAGAGTTTGACAACAGTTTGTAGAAGTATCCGTCAGAAGAAGTGACGACTTGATACACTATACAACAGTTGTTCTGATCCAATCGTAGCTCTTTGGAATATTTGACTCGCTGCATTGGATATTACTAGGGATGTGAGAAGAACTACTGTTGTTGCAAGACAAAGAGGTGTGGTCAGGACACAGTCGATATATAATGTGTGTGCACATGTGTTTGTTACATCCCAACACCTTAATAAACAAATCCTATAACTAAACCATCACCGTATTGCATTAAAATTATCAATATTGAAGATCGTTGTATTTGGTATAACGTGTCGATATTTGATATGAGTCAAAAGTGCATCGTGTATGGCTGGTGTCAGCACGTCGAGGCCGGCGGCCTGACGCGAGCCGCGCGGGCTGTGGCGCCACTGGGGCGCGGGGCTCGGGCTGTTACATGCACGTACCTCGACAGAGTTGACATCAGCGCCGTACTGCGGTATACACAGGTAACATAGCTGGTGTGAGGTGCCATTTAACCTTTCAAATCGACTCTCTACTGTTGTCTTAAATTATTTTAGAACTTTTTAAATACTTTATACTCGTTAACAACAGCGTTTTACCGAACTTGAACTCCTTCTACCGTCTTAACCCTACACATCGAAAGCTTTTCTATATTCTTAAGCGCTTTCTAGTAATTCTTTACTGCTTACAGCTCGTATTCTATCTTCTCTTGTGGCCTCTATCGACTGCCTTGTCGTGACAAATTAGTATGTATTTAGATAGTATTCTCAACTGATTAAAGTTCTAGGCACTGTGAGACCAGTCGCTGTAGAAGTAGACCATTCATAAACAAGTTAATATTTGACTTTAAAGTTTCGTTATTTCATTGTTTTTCGTAGATATATTCTGCTAAACAAACGAATGCTAGACTATACAAGAGTGCGTTTGAGGAGTGTAGATTGCTGTGCAGGAAGTGTTCAACTCAGAATACTAACATATACTGTCGACAAAACAAAACAAAACGGGATAGAGTAGAGGTAGCAGCACTCTCATTCACGACTAAAGAAGTCAGGACAAAATCTAATCAATAGTACGTGGACGTTTACCCAAGAGTCGAAGTGAAGAGTGCGGGAGTGGGCGGGGTGAGGGCGGGGGGAGGGGCGGGAGTGTCGGGCGGGGGCCTACTGCCTAGATGTAGGAGTAGGGCCCGTCCGTGAGGGCGCTGCACAGCAATAGTCAGGAGGCGTCATCCTTGCCCGCGCCCGCCGCCGCGCGCCGCGACGACCGGTACTCCACGCCCGGGTCGAACTGCATCAGCACGAACACCTGCGCCATCCATCACGTCAGTACATACATACTCCAGCCTCGCGACACCACGTCATGTATAGTCACACAGTACCTGGTCGGTAGGTAGCAGCGAGAAGTCATCGGGCGGGTTGGTGATGACATATCGCTTGCTGCTGGCGTCGCAGGAGGAGGAAGTGTCTCGGAACCGGTACAGGCCGATGCACAGCATGCCATACGTGCTGAGCGCCGCCACGAACAGGTCGCCGTACTTGCCAGCCTCGCCAAACTGCGCCAGTGGACCGTCGTACAACGAGATCTGACCCACTCTACACCGATCCCTGATAACAAACAAAATACATTAATGAAGGACCGAACGAGCTGTGAACGTGCTAATAAGCGTTTTAGTCAACAGAGGACCTGTGGATTCTGAAGAAAATCGCCTTTTTATTTAGGCCAAGCTCATTGTATACATATTATAAGAGAGAAGCTATGCTTGTATTGTGCGGTTACCTATTAGCTAAGCTCTCTGGCGTGGAGTACCCGCCGCGCAGCCCCGCGCCCTCGGCCAGGATGAGCTCCAGCTCTGGCGTCGCGCCGCCCGTGATCAACGAGCGGATCAACGTTAAGGCATTTTGGTTGAAATAAGTCTGGAACAAATACAGGCTCATTTAAAATGAACACACACTTCGCAATCAACTAAAGAATACAATATGTTGTGTCAACGTACGGTGGACATAAGTGAGTCGAGTACACTGACGGCGAAGGCTGTACCGCACGCGAAGGGCTGCGTCAGGTACAGCTCCGTGTCCGGGTCATCGTCGTCGTCCTGGTCCAGGAACTGCACGTTACTGTCGTTCACCAACTCTGTGGGAAAACGGGAAATTTTAAAGTTGAAAGTCCAGAGTTGTTAAAGAAGATAATATTATGTAACATCATTGCAGAAGGGAGATAAATTGAAATATGTGACTAACCAGTAATCATAGGCACATTGGCACCATAGACGGACCCCCTGCGCTGCAGTAAGACGGGCGCGGGCGGCGCGCCAGGCGGGGGCGGCGCCGCGCTGCTGCCGTTGGTGACGCCGGCGCTCAGCACTCCTATCGTGTCGTCGAACGTCATCGCCTTGATGTTCAGCGAAGCCAAGATAGCTTCCTTGTCGGCCAGCGTCGGGTCATCGTTTGATGGCACCTTCGCCGACAGGATACAGCACATGTCGCACAAGTTCACATTCACTGCACGCAAGTCAGCCCGGCTTAGCGGTGAACCCTGTGGAACATGACATATCGTTAGAAAAATGGTCGCAGAAAAATTCATTATGCAATGTAAGAAGTCATTTCTCACATTCAAAACAGAAATCTTTGGTAGATTCTGCAACATCTTCCACTCTCTCCTAATATAGTCGACGCTCCCCACGATGACGACGTGCTTGAGCTCGTGGTAGTGGAAGTTGGAGGCCCGCAGCGGCATCACCAGGTTCCGTAACCCAATGAGCGGCGAGTCAGGGTCCGCGAACAAACACACTACCACGTGCCCGTTCAGAACTGTCATGGCCGCCTGATTTCGGTCCTGTAGAATATAAGAATAGTTAGACGAGAGGAGTTTTAATAAGTTGCAAAAATTAAACCAGATTATCTGTAGCTCTTCTAAAGTTAGAGCTTAAATCTTAATTTAGAACTATGTATTATTCCAAAGCTAATTTGGTTCCAAGGTTTTTAAAACCAGGACAGGTACTTACTAAAATACAATCTTCCAAATTCCTCGCAGGGCTCCAATGGAACATTCCAGTGGAGTCATACTTCATTTCAGTCTTTTCGAAGTCGAAATCTTTCGACTGGTCATCAGCCAGGCCCGCGGGCAGGCTGACGCCATTGCTGTTTTGGTTACCACCACTGCTTCTACTCGTAGGCCTGTGCAAATATCACAATTAGAAACCGCGATCATAAAATACATGCAATTTGTGTCCAAGTTACATGTTATGTAAATCATTTATAGTTTTCGTTTTTATCTTTTTCAGTTTTAATCTAATAGAAGAATTTGAGAGGTTTAGGGGAACAAATTAAATCTCTGTTACTGGGTAGGTGGGTCGAATGTATAAAGAGTTAAGAAATAAGAATAGCACCTCTACAGAAGATAATAGTATCTAATACACTACAATGGGGGGATTTTGGGCAGTACTATATTGATTGAATTAGACTTGGTATCGGATTGTTACTAGAATTAACTTATAATTGAAGTTAATTTATATTACAAGTGGAACAATTTAAAGCTACTGTAGGTGTTGTAGGCACTGCGGACAATGACAATATCTAAACTACAAATGTACAAGAATATGCATCGCAGACATAAATATCATGTGTATAAACATAAAGTGACATAAACATGCTGTAGATGTGTCGTGCTCAATTCAAGTGCAGTATACGGTAACAATAAAATAATTTGGTTTACGTATTCCAACTAAAATATCTGACTAGTGAGGCAAGCACTACTCGCTACGAACTTGTCGAGGAAAGTCTGCGCAGATGTCAGCACTGGCGAGTCCGGGGACCGTGCAGTGCGGACGCAATGTAGGCAACATTCACACATTGCTGACTTAACTCGTGTAAAAGAATTCAAGTACTTTGCAAATATCAAAACTACTGATAATAAAATGATCTAGCTGAATAATTTTCAATTACATGAGTTTTTTCACTTCGTAGGCAAGGTGATAGGCCTGGTAATTGGTATCTTGATCCTGGGGATTCCTGTAACACAGGGTCAAAGAGTCGTCTCCGTTCTTTTTTTAAAGGAAATAAATGCGGTCAGGTAAATATCAGTTTAGTGCTTGTGCACACTGTGCTAAAATAAAAAATAATTTAAATACTTGAATAAGAAGCCGCGACAGATAGAGAAATTAGGGATAGAAGAAGAGACTTTAATGGCTAAGATTTATATTCATATTTTAATATTAATATTATAAGTTGGGGATTGTTGGAACGGGCTAGTTTCTAAGTTTCTGAAGCCGTTTCTTGACCATAAGATAGGACTTGAAATAATTAGTACACGGGTTGTGTTGCTTGGCTCCAGAGAAAGCAACAATTATAGCGTTATTTCATGAAGAGTGTTGATACGTGATTGAAGGGGTTTCTCTTTGAATTAAATTTAGTTTGAACTACTGGGTCTTTGAACTTCTTTAAGGATCTTTAATTATGTTAAAAGGGCAGCAATGATGTTATCACGTTAGTAAATTACAATTTGAATAGAATAATCTAAATGAATCTGCATCACGTATCCTCACTCGAGGACATTGATAAATTAGTGAAAATGAATGAGTATGTAATGTGTGTGCGACTCACGTGTCCGGTGGTGCCCTGTTGACGTTGGGCTTCACCTTGTTGACCTGCCTCGTGGTGGTGGTGTTCACCAGCTGGTTCGCGCTCGGAGACAGCAGCGTTGTCGGCGCCGCACTCCGATGGTTGCGATTTATTACTGAACAAGAATTTTTATCCGTCTTTTAAAAGTTCCTTGTTGGTTTAGGAGTTTGTATTTATTAAAGTTAGCTGTGATCAAGCAACATATTAAGTTGCATTTACATTTTCCTGTGTGGACGTACACGTTTTTAGTCTTAGATAGACTTGTGATATATTGTTGTTTTAAAAATGCTTATGTGCTCTTATTACCCAAAGAAGGAAGGAAGGACCAATGTCCTTATGAAAATATATTTTCCTCCAATGAAATAAATATTGGGTGCTAGAACAATTCACACAATATTTATTTTATTGATATTTTAAATCTAATACTTACAACTAGTATCCTCCCCTCTTTCTCTCGCAATTTCACCTGAAAGGCAATAACTAAGATTTATCCGGAAATATTACTCAACGCGAACGTGTGGTAGAAGTAGCAAAGCTCGTGAGTTTACTTTTTATTTAACGTTTCTTACTTTTACTTTACTTCAATTCTCAAACATTTAACTAATTTAAAAAGTTACTGAATGCACGTAGAAAAATTTGAAATTGATTTTATTTTATTCTAATATTAAGAGACTTGACCAGTGTCATGTCAGCCTCAGAATTTTATATTTAAGATACAATTGGAAGTTACTGAGGTACACTTACAATTATTATAAAATTATTAATTTGAAATCGATATTCTCTACAACAAAAGCATAAATGTACCCACATAGCATTCACTTTAGCGTTGCCAATTTTGGACAAGATTTGTTTGATTTGGGTATAGGTAGATATTTTGTATTATTAACTGGTAACACTAGTAGACAGTAATATCATCCACGAATTGGCAACTCTTTTAATAAAGATGGTAGGTATTTAATCATTCAGACAAATAAATGCAATGCCATGAATATTTGCAATGCGCGGCAGAGGGGTACAAACCACAAATGATAATACATCCGCTTTAGAGTATACCAAGAAGCACAGATCGATGAAACAATTCAATCATTGTTCACTCGTTTCTCATTGAAATAGTGAATGCAAAAGTAAAATAAAAACAAAATGATTTTGATTCGTGTTCATTACAATTTAGTTATTCGGGACTTTTTGTGAAATTTAATGTGAGGCTGTTAATTTAGAAGTGTCGCTCTGCGGAGCGGCAGCGGGACGTGTAACTACTGCTGGCCGGGGCTGGGCCGGCCGCCACTGTCAGTGCGCGCTATGAAGTAATGCGTGACAAAGCAACTAGGTGCACGGTACCTTCCGGTAACCGGGGACGAAGCATATTGCCGGTCAAATGGATCAGTGGGCCGATGATTAAAAGAAAACAAAAAAAACACTCGGCTCGGAGCCTGAGATGTACCTCGAACATGGACCTTCTTGGGCAACTCTGGCGGCGTGAAGGTGGGGGGAGGATGGTGATCATCTGCAAAACATCAGCACAAGTTCGCATTCCACTCCACTCAGTAAATACAGTTCCTACAGCACATCGCGTATAGTACAGCGTGAGCCCGGTCTGTCCAAATAGACTCAGATCACTTCAGTATACAATCATCGGTTTCATCTTTCCAAATATTTGAAAGCAATTAGCATATTTGATATTGAATTGCATAGATTAGTAAATAACGTGTTTTGTTTCTAGTGTTAGATATAGTAGCACGATGTTATTAGACGTATCCGTCCAGAGAGAAACGCCAAGTAAGCTAAAGATGAAACCGATACACAGTCAAATTACTTAGTAAACAAGAAAATATTAATCACGGCTACTTATTAAAGCTACAGGATACAACAATACCTACCACCACGCATGCAACAAACATAAAGCTACGGATACAAACGACACACAAAACGAAAGTCTCTAACTAGTAGACAAGCTCTACGTGCTAGAATATTATGTCTCACATCTTGAATTAAATGGATTTAGAACCCTAGGGATTACCATGGCTAATGCAAAGGATATGCGAGTATGAAAACATGGTGTGATTAGAATGGCACTGGCGTACTAAGAACTGAAGGCTCAAATGAAATTAGAGTTTGTAAATATTACAGGGATGTGATAAGAATAAGGCGAGTATACCAAATTGTTCGGCAGATTGGGACGCAGCAGCTAACGACTGCTAGGTCCGCGCGGTTCTATCGAGGCGGGAGCATCTAAACGTTCCCTATGCAGGGGCTCATTAACTCATCTTTTCAACTCTTAAGCAGAATAAAATTATAAATGAATTTCTTGTAAAATCTATTACTTCACAACATCAATATCTGAGGGACTATGTCGATGCAGAAAATCAGGGATCAAAATACTCCTAGAAAAATATTTTGAGATATAATAATAATATAATAACAACAACACCAAAATAAATAAACGACATCACATAATGTCTCTCGATGTTTTAATATCGTCTAATAGAGAGGCAAACATCTAACTGCTGTATAATGCACATATAGAAACGTATAAGACAAGACAATGATAAAACAGGACACGTTTGCTATTAGCGATCGGTGGCCAGGAGTCACCCCCCCACATGTCGCGTACAAACATCACATTGACATGTACATTGAATCTTATACACATTAAGGTTACGTACTTGCCCTGCCAACCATCTGGACGGCTCGTACGCCCTTCCTGAACGTAGCCACTGAACCGAGAAACAATACGTTTAAGCTCACTTGTTACACAATTCAATTTAACCTGTTTTAATTGTAATAGGTGGAACAGAAGATACGCAAATAATAACAGTTCTTATGCAGACAGAGATGCAAAGCTAGAGTTCTCTCAGTAGGGAATAGTAGTTGATGGAGACGCATAATATGGCCTTATTAGTACCGGCCGGACTGCAGCGCGCGGCATCGCCCGGCCGGCAGTAATAGAGGCCAGCTCCTACATGGCGGCAGTCGTGACAGTGTCCAACTGAGAGCTGAAAGTCGCTACCTAGGTTATGTCGCGTAGTAAGCGAGCTGTAGTTAATATAGTGTCGTAGCCTAGCTGCGCTATACTAGTTGCGTGTGTCGTTTTATCGTGTATTAGCATTGGTATATTGTAGCCCAGTATCAATTCGACCATAGCAATGGTTAGTTGATGCAAACAAACTATACGTGTGTAAGGTACGGTAATACGGTATATTTGTCATTTCGTTTCCGTACCGTCGAGACAAGCACGGTACGTATTAAGACTTTGTTTCACCATCCCAGTCTGCATCATCATCATTCCAACATCTGTAAAAATCCAAACACTGACAATACGAATGTACGCTCCTAGCATTTATGGTTTTATTTGTGTTAATGAGTTTGGTAGAATCAAATTCAGTGCAGTGAGGCTATGTGTCATGTCGATCGGTGTTGAGAGCGGTTGAATTTGATTCTGTCAAAGCGTGGATGAATATGATGGATCGCGACTGCATTCAGTTCCCTCCCTGTGTTAGTCCCTGTCGTTAGCACAGACAAGCCGGAACTGTCCTCAAAGTCTTTGTCCTCCAAGCTCACTCTCGATGGGCAATCTTAACAGCAGTTTGAGATCTTCACTCCTTTCGTTCTGAGACATGCTTTCGTGGATTCATATTTACGAGTAAGTACGTACAGTATTATACATCTAAGTGTCGGGGACATGACGGTGCACTTGCAGTTTGCGGTATTTAGGTCTACGTATTATTGTTTACATGCATAGTACTGTCTGTGCTGGGCTCAGAAGTGCATCATAGCAATCGTGTTCAACTCCTGCAGAGTCGCAGCGCATTGCGAGCTGCACGCAGCTATCTTTAAATAATTTTGACATGTGATTGCTGTGTGATCAATTCATAAGTACTATGTACAAGTCCTGATTGGGTGTGAATATTAAGCGGTATTGTATGATGCACTAAATCCTCTCAATCGATACAGAAACAGAGCGAATAATATCTCAAAAGGCAGAAAAATGGTGAAGTGTCGGAGTGCTTCATCTTGTGGCGGAATCCATTCACGAGCGAGCGGACATACACAATGATCGCTAAGTATAGGGTGTGAACGAGCACGGGTCAAGATAATGCCTTGCAGCCGATCCAGTCAGTGAGGTACGGACGCAACACCACTAAAGCAACTCAACAAAATTATAGACACGAAAAATAAATATCGGAAAACGTCAAGTTGTGAGGTTAGGTGTGGTGCAAGTTACCTATGTCGGCTCCAACCTTCCGCTGGTGCGCGGTCACTAAAAGTTTAGCCGAACAATATTCATTAATGTCTCACACGTAGAAAGAAAACAGAGAGTGAGTCGAGCGAGTCTGTGTGCGAGCCGGCCAACGGGCCGGGGCCTACTGCCTACGTGTAGTACACTTGTGTAGTGACACACATATTACGGGACACACTTCGTTACAACATTTATATTTCCAGAAAGAATGTCACAGAATAGTATTCAAGTTTAGAAAGTTAGCTTAAAGTATTGTATGTTCAGAATTCTGTACAGATTGTCTCGCTAAAGAATGCAATGTATTAGTAATGATAGCAATACAGTGATCTTACAGTTTTTGCATTTGCACTTCTTGATGAGCGTTTCGTCTTTGATGTCCTCGTGGCAGGCCTTGCAATAATACCAAGCTCTGGAATGATAATAGTTGTAGTAAGTACTAAGGAGAGAGACGCTACGACTTCGGCGACAAACAGTCATTAGAAGAGAGTAGTCAACGACAGCAGGAAGCTATCAAAACAAACGAATCTCTTATATTGAAAGACTACGAACATTGAAGAGTCGCTAAGTTCCTAGCACTGTTCAGGCGTAAAGTAAGAGTCTACCAGCAGCTAGGAGTATTAGTTTTGGAAGAAAATGGAGGGGCAGGGAGTTCTAACCTTTTGACCTCGTCAGCGGATTGCGCTATAAAGAAGCCTTGCGTGTTGGCGTGTATCTTGGCGCTGCGCGGGTTGATGGAGATCTTGCTGTCGGCTCCCTCCTCGCCTTTGATCTCGATGGCGAGCAGCAGCAGCTTGAGCTTCGTGAAGCATAATCTGGAGGATAGTCACATGATGTACCGACACCTTCCACAATTATATTTTATTCATTACGAGTTTCTGTTTACTTAGTTGCAAAAGCTAAGATATAATTCAAAGCTTGTAGGGATATAGGTACAACAAGAAATCTTAATTTTATTACTATTCAGATCAAGTTACCAACTTGCTTTCTAATGGCTAGTATTATTAAAGTTCAACCTCGTTGTTATGGTGTCTTCGGCCAGCAGGTTTACTGGCAGATACAAATGTATACATCAACATCAAATGGTACTAACCATTATTTTATTTTACTTTATAAATAAGAAATAATAATTGAATACAATCACATGCTACAGACGACAACTAGAAAGAATCGTTTTTTAAACATGAAGCTCTTTTATATACTGAAGCGCACTATTGAATTTATATAAATAATTATATACTTTTATACATACATGTAACAGGTATTATTCATGCACATTATAGTTCTACTGATACATATTATAAATATAGATATAGTTTATTTGACATACGTACGTATATATTCCTACCATGTAGATAAAACGTAATAAGCGGTATAAATAGAAGACCAGAAACCATGAAGTACCCAAATACCATCATTGAACTGTAAGTTGATGATACTTTCCAAAAAGTTTTAATATAAAAATGTGCAATTAAGCCCAAGAAGTGCGTCATGACAATGATATATACCAATGGCAGAATTTTTACAATTTTCTTTTACTGCACTGAAGTAATTCTTTGATCTCGTCAGTTTCGTTGAAATGAACCAATCAAGGTGATCAATGTCGGGGTGTAATTTAAAATTTAAATCAGTTGATAAATGGAATAATAAGAAAAGATGTCGATGTAGACCGCACGGCTCGTACTAGTCTAGAATAGAATACATACCACTATCGTCTAATAAATTACCCATTCAACATGCACAATCTATTCTGAAAAATTAGAGAATAAGTTTAGTACTAAGATATCCAGGCTACCGGTGACTAGGTTATCAGATATTAGTGCACACTCAGGTATAGCTAGGGTTAGCAAGTCGGCACACAGTGTCTACGGTGCGGTGCAGGCGGCCCAAGGATCGAGGGGTCTTACTCGCTCGCCTGCGGGAAGCTCATTCCCGTGAAGGAGGTCGACAGTGTCTCCGTGTACATCTCGCAGCCCGTACCCTGCAGGTAATCGTTCTGCCAAGCTTGTGTGTCGGGGGACTGCAATCAACCAATAGGATTCGCTAAAGCTCGTGCTATGTTAGTCGTAGCCACCTCGACAGGCTATCGCGTCCGCTCGGATCTGCTGCTCGCTGCTCGCCGTCGTCGGCTATATTATACATCTATTCACAATTAGTATTATCATGGCCCTATATTATTTTCTTTACATGTTATCAGCTAAAACGTTATTCAGTGCAGTACCTATGATAATGAAATCGAAAAAAGAACACCGATACTTATTCAAAAATCACAGACGATAAGCTCGCAAACAAAAACACTGAAATGATAAGCTATGCATCTCGTAGTTGGTTAGTATTGATTGTCCTGTCATCACGATGGGTTGCTCAAACACTGGTAATGTATAAAAGGTGTGTGTGACGTGGTCTCGTGTCACGTTATTGAAAGCGTCTCGTTCGCAGCCACTTACTCTGCGGCTTGTTTGAACGGCATCCCGATAAACGTGGAACTAAGTGTCTCGGTGTACATCTCCATGCCGGTACCTCGCATGTAGTCATTAGTCCATATAGCCATTTCTTGTGACTGTGGAAATGCCGCATAGTATCGTTAGAACCCGAGTACGTTCAGAGAGCGACACGAGCGCTATCCGGCCGAGGGTGGGAGTCGGTCTCTGACAGTACTCGAGGGTAGTTTATAGTGTGTGCTGTAGTAAAGGAGGAGGCTGACCGTCTTGAAGCTGCGCATGGCGAACAGGTTGGCCATCATGGTGGAGAAGCCGGGCGCGAGGCAGCTCTGCGCGATGAAGCCGAGTTTCAGCTCCGCCAAGCAGATGACGTCATCGCCTTGCTTCCAGTCCCATGATGGAATGTTTAGGAGGTAGGCCTGCAAAATGTTGGTACATCTATGTAGAAACCTGGAGACTCGCATAGAAATATACATAGTATATTCATAGATATGTGGAATACGAACCTTATTATGATATTGCATCAGCTGTATGATGACCCTGATGTCGTCGGAGTAGTTCTTGATAGAGATGACTCTCATGATGTTGGCGGCGTCCTCCGCGTCGGGGTCCTGGCAGTACTTGTTGGCCAGCACCAGGCACGCGTCTGCTTCATGTACCTACATGTTACACCAGTTATAACATCTTGTTGAAGAGCGCTTGTCATTAAGATGGTGGGAATGAAGCTTTAAAGTGATAGACGTAGTCACAGGTAAATTACTGTTGGATCACTTCAACATGGGTTTAGAGCCTAAAAGTTAATGTTCCACGATCACTTTTAAGCATCTGATTGTAGGTACCATCCACATGACAAGCTTACACGTTTGTGTTAAGCTTTAGCTGAGGATACAACCAGGTAACATTGATTTACAAGGAGGGCTCACAAATTGAATTGGAAGCCACAAGAGTTGCAGCATGGTCCAATAGACTTTATAATTACTTTGCATTCACAAGCATCGTATTGCTTGGATATATCAATTATACATATATCAATGCAGTTTTTGGGGCATAAAGCAATAAACATTGATGGGTCACAACACTTACCAATCAAACGAGAACACACTAAGTTACCAAGAGTTAGAACACATCAATTGTTAGGAGGAAAGACAGAGACACATATTAGTAAAGGTTGTATGTTAGTACTACTACGTTCTATCAAGCTGAGGTTTACAAAAGCGTGAAAGTTGCGCATGCAGAACATTTGCTGAAAATAAAAAATGAAAACCACGTCGTTATGATTTCAATTGTTTTAGTTTTTGGGCAATTATGTGATCACAAGAAATCATCAAACGATCTTACGACTTCATCAATAGAATTATGTGGTAATCATTTCGTAAGAAGCAGGTGGGGTCAAAGAAGAAGTACAATGCAGACAAGCGCGTCCATTCCATAAGCCATGCCAACTTACCCAAAAATATCGACAATCGATAACTGTACTCGACTACTTATAAAAATGTTAATTTTGAAATGGAAACCCTTTCTTCGGCAGCCATTAATGCCAATATTGCGATCGAATCGTACAGAAAATCGATATCGAAGTGACAAACGGGCCAGCATTGCAACAACACCCAATCAGACACATGGTGGGCGGGCAGAGAGCACAGTCCCGCGCGGCGCTCCGTCGCGTGCGGGCTCACGGGCTCCGACATCGTACCGAGCGCCGCGCCACAACCTCGCGCGATAGGTTACGAGCATCGCTCTACTCTAGACAATATGTTACATCGTCAAACCGACACCACGCCCATTTTCTTATTTTTGTGTGTGTCACATTTACTTACTTTCACCCTCTGTAGGTCGATTGGATTCATAATGGTGCCTTGAAAGAATTCCACAGTGGTAAAGTGCCTCTTGAACAGGCCTTCGAGCTCCAGGTCGGGCGGTTTCCTGTCATGAACGCTCAGTTAACAACCTGCCATGGTTACCGGACAGTCCGCCGCCTGGCGTGGCCTTACCATGCAACTCTAGTACGAAAATACGCAGTCGTGTGGTGGTGCGGGGTCGCCTCGGCGGCCTCGCAGCACCGTGAGAAGCAATGATTGCATCAAAATAATCACAAGATAAACGTTACCAAAGTGATCAATACCTACTGTGACTATGAAACAGCATCTTTACAGAAGAAACAGTTCTGTTTTATGCACATATAAATAAATAAAAAAAAGTACTGATTCACGTAGACGCGTCAATGAGAATTACGGCCGTGCGTTAATCTAATGCCTGCTCTATGGTTGTTTTCTAACCTTGACTCGTTCAAGGTCGACGGCATTCATCATTGTACCCTGAAAAAACTCGACGGTGGTGTAGTGACGCTTGAGGAGACCTTCCAGCTCAAGGTCGGGCTCTTTTCTGAAAGCGTCGTCGGAGCATACATGACACACCACCCTCGACACTGGCACAAGCTAAGTCTCACGCGATGCGACGCCAGGGGCCGCACCTACCCACTCACTTGTCATTGCCACCAAGGATACATCCTTTACATTGCTTATGTGATATTCGTTCAACTATATTTTCAGTATATTCGGATGTCAATATACTGAACAATGCGTCACACATCAATTAAGTAACTTAGTAAGTACGTAGAAGAATATTTTAAACGTTATACAGTAGATCATATTTATTCTATCTACATGTAAAAACTGATGCTTGTCTCTTTGTCTCTAGTTAAAATTTAAGTGTTTACAATATTCTTCTATCGTATATTAGCTGCCATAGTGAAATATTGTAACAGTTAGGTACGCAGCAATCATTTTCTTCAGTTAAGTATAAGATATACTGATGTAACTTAAGTGAATTTAGAATTATATCTTGTTTCATTTCATTAATTGATTTGAGAAAATATACTTATAATAAAGTGATTATGTTCATACATACCTGTGTAAAAAAACAACTTCGACGTCTACATCCTCTCTGTCCTCATGTAGGAAGTCTTTTAAAAAATGGCTCACTGACTCGTAAGTTATGTGTCCACAGACCACAATATGCCTGAAACCGTACAAGCATGTTATAACACCGACCCACTCCGCTTCACTCAAGGTGCAACTACGAAATCAATTTGCATTTTGAAAAACAAAGAAAGAAGCTTCAGAAGCGAGTTCTCAGAAAGTCTCAAAGCTTGTAAGTTTGAAAATAACTTAAGTATTGGAAAATTGCAAAATTGTCATTATTTTTAAGCTTCGTGTTGTTAAAACAGTAAATCATTTACATTGGCTTGATTCTTTTAAAAAGCAAATTTTCAAGAAGCATATCTTAAAAGTAGAAGAAGGAAAAGACAGAAGTAACAGCAATTTGAAGTCTTATTTAACACCTGGGACCAGATGGAAGTAATTGGTAAGTAATAAAATATTGAAAAGAAACAGGTCACTGCAGGGTTAAACAAAACAGTAAGTGATAGAAGCGTGAAGATAAGCTACATATACAATAACGACGCCATTGTTTCTCTATCGCCAATTTTATATGAATACAACATCTTGTCAACGACGCTTGCTACATTTAATTATAACAGATTTTGTATAAAACAATGACGTAGTTTGCAAATTAAAACGTCCATATATTAAATCTATAAGTTCATTAGTTTGTGTTCCGTATTCGTGTAATTCTTTGAAACCATTTAATCTTTGACATGACTATTGTATAATTGGCAAACATTAGGCCTTCAAAATGGGAATTCTATATTTAAGTACGGTCACAAATAAATGAACGTTAATATCTAGAAAGCTCAGTTTCGTTCAGGACTTGTGTAACTGTCTACCACACTAAAAAAATAAAATAAAATGAGACGACGGCTATGGAGAGGGGGTTGTTGAGGTCGCTTGCAGGACATATGTAGTGTCTGAAGGGGGACATACAACAATAATAGCATTACTTTGCATGGAGGAGAAATATTTGTGTTGTAATGACTTGAATAGCTACATGTTGACATGCTGACTGTTCGGTAGGGTTGCCAAAGACATTTATTTCCGCCCTGTAGACTCAACTTTAAATCTTACACTTCTATTTTCTGGTTAGTAGCTTATACAAAATGTACTATTTAAGCAAATGCCTTGGTCTTACCAAAGAGTCAGCTTGTGTATTCTTATCTAAACACAGCATAAAATATCATGTACTTAGATAAATAATTACTTAAATCTGTTCAGTAAGTAACATATATTCTGTCTTGTGATTTAATTACTTTGTGGTTTATATAAATAAATAGTGAACAAGTGTATGGCACGTGTTCTCTGAACTTATTAACTTATTACTCTACGCTTCAGCTGCTACGGTAATATACATACTTTCGTACTGTGTGTAGATAAAAATTGTATATAAACAGTAAAAGCTTGCATCTCAGTACAGTTTATGTATTTGGGATATTTGTAACATTTGCACATAATATATAATATGTATGTATCTACTTTTACAATAATATTGTATCATGTTGGAGCCAGAGTCGCAATTCTTAATAAGTTCTTATCGACACTGTTAGGTGGACACTTCGTCTGTTGGAATGTGAGTCGACAGTCCGTAAGTGAAATGAAGGTTAATGTTGTTAAATAAAATATAAACAAGTATCAGAAAATCATCACAGAGCAGAAAATAAGAAAGTATAAACCAAAGGATGCAAACAGCTCATGTCTACACGATCATGCAACTATTATTCATCTAAGGTGTGGCAAAGGAACTGATTTCATTTTTATTCATATAAACAGTAAATCTGTCTACCTTGTATCTTTAATACGATCCATAAACATTGCAAACAGTTTCCAAATTCAATCCATAACTTTTTCATAAAATGATTGGTGTATTGTTGCTAGGATGATGTCAATCATGTCAAATGATATGTTCAATAAAACTAATCTAATTTTGCGTTAAAAATGTCCTCAATGCACACAGCCTTGCCACGCTCTATGAATATATATATTTACGAAAATACATTACACTAAAATAACCGAGGGGGTCGACTCAAAATTACATTACAGATATCAAAAACATTAAGAGGGTCAACATTAAGAGTACAAGTACAAGTAACAGTAAGTCGTGCAGGCAGGAGTAGAACGGAGCGGAGCGGACGGCGGGAGGGCGCGGGCCAGGCCAGGCCGGGAGGGGAAGGCAGGGTGCGTCGCATCAACAGCGCGTGCCCACAGCGCGCAGGGACGGGCTGTCGACGCCTCGCTTGTCTTGCAACGCACACCGGAACTCCAACAACGCACTACAGTACGGTACCACTCAACATTTAACTCTCCGTAACTAAGCTTTACGTTAACATTCCTTTACTTTACGTACGTACTAACAGAACATAATCATGATACCTATAATGACGAGCGATAACACTAGCCACTATCTGCTGTTCACTATTCAACTGAACTCAAATCAATTCAAAGATAATTTACAATCAATATCGACTCATAAAAACAAAGACAACTCGCGGGACTTTCGTCCCGCCAAGATAAGTGAGAACACAGAAGCGTGCTAAGAGAGGAAAAGGAAGAATAGATGTCACAACACGGAACACATTCAACGGAACGGAGTGAAGACAGCGGCTCACCTGCGTCCCCGCTCATTCTTGAGGGTGCCGCCATACTTGGGTCTAGTGCCGATTAAGTCAATTATCTCTGGGATACAACTGGCAAATATCGCCTAAACGCCGACAGACAAAACAAGACGTTCACATTGATTGAACCGAGAGCGGGGGCGAGTCGCCGGCGCGCGCGCGCGGTGCACGGCGGTGCGTGCGCGGTGCGGCGGCGACTCGCCCCGCGCGGCGCGGCGGCGCGTGGCGGGACGGCGCGGCGGGACGGCGCGGCGCGGCACTGGCTGTGTGTCGCGGGACTGTGGCGAGTGCCGGAGCTAGCGCTACAGCGTGGCGACAGGCATCGTGTGCAAGCGAACAAACCAAACACTACTTCATCGACAGCATTACAAAACTTTACATCGGCTCTCTCCAGATCTAGTCTCGTTAGAAAGGATTAAAAAGCTCAACGGTATCTCGAGTAAAATTTACGAAAAAAGGCATGTAGTAGTGCGTCGGTCGACCGCGCGCCTGTCTCTCTAGTTCGGGGAGAGGGGCGCGGCCGCCGGGAGCTAACTCTTCGAGCATGCGCCACGGCACCGAGAGACCGATTCTAGTGAAGGATTAATAAATTTCATTAGCAAACTCCGCATTCAATCAACCAAGATCGAAACCGTGAGAGGTAGGAAGGCAGGAAGCCGCGTGGAGCGGGGGCGTGAGAGCAGGGTACCTGCGGCGGACGTCCTTGTTGTACCGGCCGCCGTATTTGTTCCGCTGCGCCGCCAGCTCCGTGATCTCGGGGATCCAGCTGGCGAACACAGCCTACGATACACAGCAACACCGTGAGGTGAGTGGCCGCGCCCCCGGCCCGCCCCCGCGCGCCCGCCCCGCCCCGCCCCGCCCGCCCGGCCCGCGAACCCTCGCGCACGAGGCTGTGTGCGATGAGTGTCGTCTGTCTGCGTGTGGCTGTGGCTGTGTGTGGGTGTGCGGGACTTGGGTGCCGTGCCGAGCTACGCTAGCGGCGGGAGCCGTGACGGGACTCGTGACCGGGTGCATGCAAAGCCTAAGGATACATACGCTAACTAATCGATGAACAGAACTTAAAAAGAAATCGGTTCGACCGGTACCTAAACTAAAAACGTGGGCATTCGGTATAGACGCTTGGTAGACGCGAACACGGGCTGGCCGAGCCGACGGGCCGCGCGGCTGCGCTCGCCGCGACGACACGCGTGCGTGGTGCCGAGCGAGGCGCCGCCCGCCGCCCGCCGCCTGGACCCGCGCGTGCACGCGAGTAGATGACACAATACATCTGACGGCACTGAGCAAGCTTTCTGATAGGTGATGATTCCACGTGCTCGCCGAGAGCTCGGCCGGTTCTTCCCGAGCGTGGCACGGGATGAAGCGCCCGGGCTTTCGACGATCACTTTATATTATCAAACGGATACCTCTTTCCATGTTCACGCTTCAGCTCGCCACTGTACTTGGACCTACTTCCTACCAGCTCTATAATTTCGGGAATGCTACTAGCGAACATTGCCTGCAACAGACCACGGTGTCGTTCGCACATGAGGTCCGCATCGCACGCGGACACCATCGAGTGGTGCACGACAATGTCCACACTGAGATCGGTATACTCTCTATGGTGACGCTGAGTCGTAAAGTGTAGCCGGTAGCGGAGCGAAATAAAAATAAAAGGAAGTAGTGTGTGTCTACCGGTGATGTGAGCAACTGAACACAGCCAGGCGTGGTGCGGCATGCATCGCGAGGTGGGAGGGGTGGGACGCGGCACCGGGTCGCCGAGGCGGCGGGCGCCACACTGACACTGTAGCGCGACTGACAGACACGCGCGCGCTCGCCTAGCGCTACGTATCTCGTTCGGACCAGTCCCCAGTACACTCCGTACTCTAAGCGCGGCGAGACAGATCCTCCGGCGGCACGTTCGCGGTACTAACACGTAACAAAGCAAAAGAAAAAACAAAATACACCCATGCAGCCGCTCGAAGAAAAGCGTATTAAAATTGAGTAGTCGGCGACAGTCGAAAGATAGTCCTTCGAAGCCGGGAAGTTAGAAGATGCACATGTGGCGGTGAGGAGTCCGCCCGGGCGGGGCCGCTCGGCGTCTCGCGAGCCTCATCCTATCATGCGTCTACACGTGGTGCACTACTCAGGCTTACAATCATTCAACGAGCTGTGCGATAAACCACTTGTCTAGCAAGTCCCATGTCAACTATATTGTAACCGTTACACTGCAAATGTTTGTTATGTTTCCTTTTGCTTTGTTATTAATTTAGCATCATACAAGGAACCGCAAGCTTGTCGTAACGACTCAGTAGCCGTAAGTAAGGAAGTATGAAACTACTTTATTACTTGAAAATTAACAAATGTTGTGTTCCAGATGCTACTACAAACAAAGTTATTAAGAGACTTGCGTCCCCTTGCAAAAATATCTTTCAAATATTTTGACTTTAAATTTAATTTAAATCATTAAAAATTTAATTCAAAGAGATTCAGAAGAAAAATAGATGAAAGTGAAACTTACCAAGCCAACGAGGAGAAAAAAAACCAAAAATGTTCTTCCAAGTACTGTGTGACAGAATACGTCACCGTAACCTACAGTGGACATGGTGACTATCAGGAAGTACACACACGTCCAGTACGATAGTTTCTGGGCATTCTCGAACTCTAATGGGTCACCAGAGTTTTCCAGCTGAAACACCATAAACCCATAAATTACCAAATGTCTTTCAAACTGTTTACAAAGTACAATAATAATTAGTTTTATAAGTCGTAGCAGACCAGACACCATACATGGTTATTTTTTGTATAACTTGAGAACATTTCAGTGGTGATTATTGTTGAACCAAACAACCCAACTGTATTTTATGCAATTCAGGGATTTAATTTGCTGTTTGCAGGCTTCGTTATTCTTAGTTTTAAGCAATATGATCGTAAGACCTGCGCTATTGGAGCAACCCTGTACTAACAAAACTAGAGAGCAATATGTTTTACGTTGAACACTTACCAAATGAATAATGCCGGCAGCGGTCAGCCACACTGATATAAATATAGAAACTAATTGCGCCAACCGAATTGAGCTCGATGTTTTTAATATATTGAGGTATTGCAAAATATCAGGCACGGTCATTAAGCGTAGAGCTCTGAGAAATCTCAGCCCTGGAACAGAGATAAAGATACGTTAAATAGGTCTTACAATTAAATATATAGACAGTAGATTAGTACTAAAAAAATACAGATTTTGTTTGAATCAATAATATTTGAATTTTGATAATTGTCATGACATTATTAATATACGGCTATACTCGCCTCCTATTACATGAGCTACAAGAGATATGTGACAAAAAATTGATGGTATATTTAACAATTGGACAAGTTAGAATTGTTGAAAAGCAATAGTACTATTTATACGTAAATCAAACAATCAAATTTATTGATAAAGACCTATGACATAGTAAGTAAAAATAATTAAGAACATATTGATAACTCACCTATCCACGTTCTATCGAGGTATATTGATACAAAGGATGGGGGTATCGTGAAATAATCTACAAATGAATACATCTCGAGCATGAACCATAGTTTGTCACTAGCTGCTATAAACTGAAACAGAAATAAACACACGGTATACATTTTCTATATATCACTATCACTTTCATATATAACACACATAGAAGAAAGAGAATAAGAGAAACATTAAATAAAAAAGGGCGCATTTAGATCGTCATTTTATTGGCACAACTAAATGCGGCCTTGAAGAAGTTCAATATAAAGGAACAATTCCCTTAAGGTGAGACGAATAAGGCACTAGCGGGCCGATAGATGAAAGCCGTTCGGATCAACGGACTATCGGCCGCCGTGGTTCGTGGCACCTCACTCTACGAAAGCTTAGAGTATAAATACGTCTTGAATAATGGCGAGACTGCTAATGTTGCACTCGATGATTGTGACAAAGAAGGCGCCGTTACCCATTCTTTTATGGTGTATACGTAAAGAGGATGGGTAATGGCGTCCACCCGTCAACGTGTATGAGACGTCTTCAGTTTCTTCAGATTCAGTTTTAAGTCTTTTCTTGATGTTACACAAAAATAGGTGAAAAATGTCCTAGTTTTCTTGATATGAATCACATAAATGACTCTTGATCTTCTGTTCGACCAAATTTTGCTTTATATTTGAAAAAAAAAAACGATTTCGTAATATTCGATACCAAAAGACGTCGTCAAGACATTGTCATAATTTGGCCATCACATGCATGTATTGCAAATTGCAATGTGTGCATAATTATACTCATAACACAAACAAATACAACAAAATCGAATCATAAATAAAACAGATTGAAAATAAGAAAAGTCAACTTACTCGTATAAAAAAGTAGACCATAAAAAATATGTTAAAGGCAAGGTCGATTTGCTGAGTAATATTGTCGCTCCATTTCTGACATCGCTCAACCTCTTCGCTGAAATCAAACAGTCGGTATATAGCACATGCACACTCACTAACCACGACAACAGTTAGGAACAGGTTCACTTGAAGCTATTTCTCTAATATATCACAGCTGACAAATAAACATTAAGCTACATATAGGACTCTATTCAGCAAACAGTTTCGACCACATTTATTATGAGTTTATTGACTCACGTATTCCTTGAATTCAGCATTATCAAGATTAGTAAGTCATTAATATTGTTAGCGATGCATTTTATTCGAAGGATATTTGGAAAGTGTATTACCTGGACGCGTCAATGAAGTAGATGATGAGCGATGCTATACTCAGGATGAACACCAACACTACCTGTAACACAAACAATTCAACTTTCAGTATTTAGGTACAAATCTTTAAATATAAATATTAACGCTATATACTATAACAGTAACTTTCTAAAGAGATAGAGTATATAATGATAAAAGAGGACATTCGTAGCGCTACGGCTACGAACGACTACGAAAGGCTACGACGGCGTAGCGCCATAAATGTAGCCATGCCCTTGCTTTTGAAAGTTTAAAATTATTTATTTAGAATATGTTTGCTAGATGCATACTTTATTAAAAAGGCAAGTCATGGATGATATGGCTTAAGCATTATTGCGTGACAAAGAAAGCGCTGTGATCAATATTTTTTCGCTAAAAAGGATTGATAATGGCGTCAGCGAGTAACAGCTGGTGAGCCTCGTGGCAGTCGGTGTATTCTTCTTTCTTGATGTTATAAAGACATTGATGGATGATCCATTAGCTAAGTACGCAGTGCTGGGTATCGGTTACTCGATATAGATCCTATATTAATTTTTTGGAGGCCTCCATTATTTATTGGTAATCATATTTTTTCAGATAAAACATGCCCTAATAAATCCCTATGAACAGTTTAGGTGACCACCATAAGACGCCTTTACTGCTTATAAATATTCCATTAGTGTTACAGCCCTATAAAACGTTACATCCTTTTAAAGTTCGGAGATTAATAGCTCTCTCGTAGGTCATAAACATTTGATAAGGTTGATTAGTATTCTGAGGTTCGGGTTTAGGTATTCTGCACCCTATGACCTTGTAATAATGTATAAAGTGTATAATTTATGAGGTCATATGATCATCAATATTAATACGGAGATCCATGCAGAATATGAATCAACTGCAACAGATTGTAATGTGTCCTTGACTCCCTGTGCTGTATGCATACTAGTATGTGTTTTGTTTGTTTGTTCACGCCTCATAGATTCAATGTATGAGATCATTCATTAGCATCAGTGATTCAGTATTTTTGTCCCAGTGATGAATGACTATGAAGTTTTTGAAATTAAGAGTCAAGCTAATGTCAAGGTGACCGTAAAGGACTTTAAAAGTAAAATGTCACAGTTAAGATATCAGTAAAGGTTTTTTTATGGAAACAATAGCTTTTTCTTCTTTTATATCTTCTGATTGATTTGATTGCGGGAGCCAAGACAGTTATTCATGTCCCTGGGACGCGCCGGACTTCAGTGGTGGTGTTTTCATGGTTGTATCTACTGTAGATCCTGGCTTACAGGAGTTGCAGCGGTTTTGGAAGGTTGTGGCAGACTTGTCTTATTACAAAAGCTTTTTTTATACATAAAGAACCAACTTTATGTTCATTCTCATCATCATATCTTCATTAAAATTATTCCAATACAGAAAACAGTGTATAATTTGTGTTCACATTTCCTATGTGAGCTAAGAAATACGACGCAGTTTTAATAAAAGAACCTTGTTATAATAATAAGTGAGCATCGTATGGAAATGGATGCAAATTGGATGCTTCCTCGCGATACTTCGATGCATACAAAAGGACTCGGCAGAAGAATCTATAATAATATTGACGATGTGCTTTACATAAGGACTAGATACATAACGATGATGGATATGTTGTACATAATAATTTTATGTTGTTGTTTGTTTGTGTTCTATGTCATAGTCATCTAAGTAGTTTTAAGTAATGTGTGTCTGTCTATGCTATAGACGCTGCTAAGGCTAAGGCTGGTTCTCTTCTGATAAATGTGCATGAAAATACTGTCGAGGAAGCGAAAGAAGTATGTAATAATTACAGCGATTGGCGTTCCATAGTCTTTACCTACCCCTATGGGAGATAGGCCTGAGGTTTTATATGTATGTACGGACCTGTATATATGCATAGCTGAAGTGGGCAGATATGTTACAGTAGTAAACGTTATTTACAAGAATTACCCATTAAATAAATAGCGTACACCGCATTTACATTAAATTTGAAATCACTGACAACATCGTAAACTATTGCTATAAAATGTTACGATATACAATTTTATTTACAAATATTGATTTTTGTATGTTTAGCTAAACGTCGAAATATTGAACCCGATTTTAAAGCAGGACGTATAAAACGTTATATCAATTCATTCAAACGTAGAAACTATCTGCTTATAATTTGAAATTGTTACTTAACCCGTCGAGCGTCCGCGTTCCTTATGATCCAACGGGTGCACACGTGACATTTAGAGAAAGAAAGAAAGAAAATGCATTTATTTGGCCATTGGCACACGAAAACAAGGTTCATTACAATAGAAATTAACCAATACAGTAAAAATAAAAACAAAACATAAAAAATAGATTTTATAAAAGAGAAAGCAGCATGGAGCATTTTTTCTTATGATCCACCGGGTGCTCATAAGAAGGCTCGAGGGGTTAAAATAAAAATATAATGTCTTTATATGTATAATATGTTTAGCAGTGGATGAGAATAGGCTGTTAATGATAATGATGATGATGATGAAGTACATATGAGACATGACAATATGAGTTCATTTCCGAGGTCCAATAAAGTTTAGCTACTTACAAGCTTCACTGATAAACAGACGGACGGATAATTCAATTTTGTAGCCTAAGGAATAAATGACATAAATGCTTTGACTTTGTACATAAAACTCGATTTTTTGTGTCTCAGTGATAATACAGGTCCTAGAATTTTTGTAACAGCTAAAAATGTCCTGGAAGAGTCCTTGAGAGCAGTGAGCCATAGTTTATTATGGTATTAAATTATGTATAAGGCTGCAACTAATGTTTTATGCCGACGAGGTTCATCCCGTAAGAGCACGAGGCGTGACATACTCGACGTGACATGGATGCCAACGTGCCATCCTTCTAGATAAATCACACTGTATTAGCATACGAATAGCTTCCGACATATTGTTTTTACGTCGTAAAATACAAAATATTTATTTATTTATTTAATATGCTTCATGCACAAAATGTACAAAAAGGTGGACTTAAAGCCGCAGGCATTTTCTACCAGTCTGACCTTTGGATGATGCAGGGAAGAGTAATTGGTAGGTGCAAGAGGCAAGCAGTGATTTTATTTAACAATGAAAGATAAACTAATATATTTCGGAGATATACATACATAAATAAATTTAATTATAATATATACCTTGCATTATAAATATTGCATTTATAATATAAACTAGCTGTTGCCCGCGACTTCGTCCGCGTAGATTAATGACTTCTGACAGAATTAACCAGAATGAATTCAGTGCCCAAGTAAGATTTACCTATTTTGAAAATTTATCGTAGTTTCAATAAATAAATAATCCCGCAGGGATATTACCAGTACAGTGCCCGATCACGTAAGGTTTGAGTAATAAAAACTATTCTATCGACTATTGTTGTACCGAATCTCTCTAGAATAAGTTCAGTGGTTAAGAGTTAGAGAGTCCTGGGGCATTGATGCATAGTTCCCGTTCTCATGAGACATCTGTGAAAAAACTATCATACGTTACCCAGGTCCCAAATCATCGTTTTACCGAATTAATTCAAAAAGATCAATGATTCTAAATTCAATGGCTAAGAAGATTTATACAAACTCTCATTCCCTATTTTATCCCCTTAGGGGTGGAATTTATCAAAATCCTTTCTAAGGAGATACCTATGTCATAGCAACTTTATGCATGCAAAGTCTCAGCCCGATCAATTTAAAACTGGCAAAGTATCATACAAACTTTCACCCCCTATTTTACCCACTTTGGGGTGAGAATGTTCAAAAACCTTTCTAAAGGGACGTTTACGTCATAATATCCATCTGCACGCCGAATTTCAACCCGATCGGTGTAAAACTGACAAAGCTTCATACAAACGTTCATCCCCTACATTACCCCATTGGAGGTGGAAATAATCAAAATCCTTACTTGGGGATGCCTACGTCATAACATCTACTGCATGCCGAATTTCATCTGCATCGGTGAAAACTGACAAAGCTCATATAAACTTTCACCCCTATTTTACCCCTTGGGGTGGAAATGATCAAAATCCTTTCAGCGGATGCCTCGTCATAACATCTATCTGCATGCCAAATTTCAATCGATCGATTTAAAACTGACAAAGTCTATACAAACTTTCATCCCCTATTTTACCCCCTTGGGGGTGGAAATTATCAAAATCCTTTCACAGCGGATGCCTACGTCATAACATCTATCTGCATGCCAAATTTCAACCCGATCGATTTAAAACTGACAAAGTCTCATACAAACTTTCATCCCCTATTTTACCCCCTTGGGGTGGAAATTATCAAAATCCTTTCAAGCGGATGCTTACGTCATAACATCTATCTGCATGCCAAATTTCAACACCGATCGGTTTAAAACTGACAAAGTCTCATACAAACTTTCATCCCCTATTTTACCCCCTTGGGGGTGGAAATTATCAAAATCCTTTCACAGCTGCTTACGTCATAACATCTATCTGCATGCCAAATTACAACCCGATCGGTTTAAAACTGACAAAGTCTCATACAAACTTTCATCCCCTATTTTACCCCCTTGGGGGTGGAAATTATCAAAATCCTTTCACAGTGGATGCTTACGTCATAACATCTATTTGCGTGCCAAATTTCAACCCGATCAGTTAAAAACTGACAAAGTTTCATACAAACTTTCATCCCCTTTTTTACCCCCTTGGGGGTGGAAATTATCAAAATCCTTTCTTAGCGGATGCCTACGTCATAACATCTATCTGTATTCCAAATTTTAGCCCAATCTGTCCAGCGGTTTGGGCTGTGCGTTGATAGATCACTACGTCAGTCAGTCAGTCAGTCAATCACCTTTGAATTTTATATATATAGATACTCAGCACTATTGATGTAGGTTCAAGCAATGTGCTTAATTGCTACACTTATGAATAAGTGCACAAAACCAATTAAACATAGCTTTAAAGTTTTGAAATCCTCATTGAATATTATTATTAAAAAATCAATATTATTATTAAAAAGTCACACGTCATACAATATCCACATTCAACACATACAGCGGGATATTGACATCA